TAAAGAGTTCTCAGCTTAATGTCTTTGAGCATCTTTTTTTGAGCATCTATTTTGTTGGTTACATTATCTCTTTGCACTCTAGGGCATTTGACAGAGATTGATTAATTCTACTGAATGTAATAGAATCTTTTGATATTTTCCTTTATAGTTTGTGTTTTCTGAGTCTTGTTTAATAAAATCCTTCACTCTTCTAAGGTCAGAAAGATAGTGTCTTCTAAATATTTGGCTTTTTTACATTTAGTCTTCAATTACGTGGAATTTATTTGTAACATGGTGTGAGGTAATGATATGATTCTTTCCTCCCTCAAGCACGGATTTTAGCTCAGGACTGTTTTATTAGTGCATCCGATTCTCACTGGTTTGTAATGACATCTCTGTACTGAACTTTCATAGATATATGCAGTGTTGTGTTGTTACTTCTGTAATTAAAACTTTTAGTTTTATTGTATCTTCCATATTTAGTTCAGTACCTTCATGTTTCTAGTCATTTCTTTTTATATATGTTCATTCATTCAACCAGTCAGTCAAGAAAGAACTGATTGAATGCCTGTGACATGCCAGGTGTATTACTAGGCACTGAGGTACAGCTGTGAATAAAGCCTGAAAGACACCTCCTCAATTTCTAGTGAAGGAAAAACACACAATAAAGACGATCCACTAACTTAATAACATATCCAAAGATGATAAAGGGCTACACAGATAAGTTTATGAGGAAATATGTATTTAGGGGAGATGTGGGGCAGTACAGTATTTTATAGAGGGGTCGGGAAAGGCCCGACTGGTAAGAAGCCTGGAGGATGGGAGGGAGTAAGCCAAGTGGTCATCGCTGAGGGAGGCAAGTTACAGGCAGAGGAGGGGCCAGTGCAAGGCCCCGAGGTGGAGCATACCTGACGTCTGAGTCAGCATTTGGCCCTACTTAGTTTATAGTCTGGGATCACTCAGTTATCTTGAGGGGAAGACCTCCTTTTTATTGTCTGCTCATTTCCATTTCTGATGCATCTTCATGCTTACATACTTGGGGTTACAAATTCATCTTCAGCGGGGTTCGAGAAATGAGTCTCCAGGCTGGTTTTGTTTGTTTCTTCCGGGCACTCGGGTCCGAGCCTAAATGGATGATATAGATTTAGACATCACACTGCGTGTGCACAGGCCTGTGATACAGCTTTCCGTGCAGTCATTGTTCCCTTCTAGATCCCAGCTTGGCCATTCAGGGTTCTCTTGCAGCCTCTGGGGAACATCCTGGTTTTATGCAGGGGCTTCACATCTAGTTCTCTGTTCTGCACAAGGTGAAGAATCCAATTCTGGATTCAGAGACACTCAGGCCACCCACAGAACCAACCAGAACTGGGCTTCTCCTGCATCAACACACATGCTTTCCACTTTGGGTTTTAGCTTATTTCTAATTTCTGGCCCTTGGGATTTCCTTCTCTCGGGAGCTCAGCTAGCTGTGCATGTAAAAGGATATTCGTTATAATCTATCTAATATTTGAACCAGAAGGGTTTTCAGATTATCAGTCATGTTACTGGAACCAAAAACTCCTTCCACTGGTGCCATTAGTGGTCTCAGGAAGTGCCGATGGGGTAATCGGTTAGGTAATGAGAGATTCAGCTTAGCAGAAATTCTAGGATGTTCCTCGAACATGGGTGGCAAATACCTTTAGGTTCAGAGACCCTGTAGACTTTCCTAGATTATTATTGGTGGTGGGTGGGGGAACTAGATGCCTGTGCTCACGTTTTCTTAAATTCGAGATGCTCTTTTTCTTACTGATGGGGAGGCCCTATTCCTGTTTTTCTGAGTGCATATAATTGTTCCAGTAACTTACCAAGCTCCTTTTAGTCTGCCTTTATGCAAGCCTACTTTGATACACTGATGCGTTAAGTAGATTGAGCCATTCTTGGTATTCCTGGAGCAAAAACTGCTTGGTGCATTTATCCTTTGTGCATTTGAGAATTCAGTTTGCTTATATTTTGAGCACAGATTTCTGTGATGAATCTTGTTTGTTTCATAGACTGATTTTAGGTAGCTCATCTTTTTCTCCTAGGAATAATTTATGGAAAAGAACTATTTACAACTAAAGTTTGAAGAAATAAGTATGCTTCCCCCCCCCTTCAGATTCCAGTAATCCTTTGGGGGGAAGCTCTGTATAAACGATCCCAATTTATTTCTCAGCTGTTACTAGGTTATCTGATTTGTTCTTGTCTAATTTCTAACAGTGTTTATATTAATATTTCAAAGAACCGTGTTTTAATTGTTATTAGTTAGAAGAGGAACTCTTTGGTACTTTACTAAAGGTATGAACTTTTAACTTGGCAGTGTGCTAAAGGTTTTACTATGGAGTCTTTTTATTTCTCCCTTGGTCCTATTTTTAGAGAAGTATATTGTTTAAAATTTTTCTTCATAGTTTTGTTAGTACGATTTGAGTGTGCTACGAATTTAAAATGTATTTTCTTCTTAACAGTGACAAAATATTACAGCTAAAATTTTACCTCATCAGTTATTCTTTCTAAGAAGCTTTACTATCTTTTCTGCCATTCTAGTTTAATTTCCATTACAGATATCAGGGGTAATTTTCTACTAGAATTGTCACTTTATTCTTTTACTTTTGAGTTATAGTGTTGAACATATTTTCTAATTGTAAAATGTAAAAAGAGCATGCTTTTGTTAATGTAGAAATATCTAAAGAGAATTATTAACACACATTCCAGAAATATGATTCAGTAGTCACGTTTGAAACATAGAGTTTCCAGAATTGGAATAATTAATTTATACATTGTTTTTTGGTAAATATTTTTTTTTAAATGTTCTCCAAGAACATGGATTTTAGTGCATCTGTATATTCTCAGTCTGTTACAAATTGCTTATCTCCTTGGACCTTTGTTATTTTGTTAGTAAGTGAAGAGAGCACAGTGGTTTGTCTGTCTTTATCTGGACCTTTGTCCATTACATTATCTCCCAATAGTGTGGATCTTAAACTGCTGCTGATTTTATAAGCTTTTGCTCGGCATTCTAAAAAGAGTGCTCATAGTGAGATATATTTTTTCGTTTCAACATTTCCTTTTAATGGAGAAATACGGTATCTTTACATGTGGCATTTGTTTGGTGCCATGTTACGTTTTGCTTTTTTATATTGGTTATATTTATCCATAAACTTATATATACACTTTCTACATTTATAAAAATAATTTTCATCTATATTTTTTGAAAATAAATTTGTAAGGTGGTCTATTTAAAACTACTAATTTGATTTTAAGAAAATGGTTATCATTACCTTTTGTATATAACTAGGCCAAAGTAATAACTTTGGATTTCTACCTGAAGAAAAACATTTTTTTTCACTTTTACCTTCAGATATTATTTCAGTAGGTATTTTTATTTGCGTTGTTTTATGTAAACTGTCTCTTCAGTAATTGGTCATACTGTTACTTGGTAACATAGTCTTTACATTCTCTATCCCATTTGTAAGTTTTCTGAAACTTTGATGATATGGAAGGAAAGGTATTTGGTGTGAATACCTTTGCTGGTAAACCCGTCTGAACCCTTTCATTTGGGTGTCTAATAATTGTGTTACAGAAGATTATCTGAGGGAACCTCTTTTTCAAGTCCTTTGTGTAAACATTTACTTGCAGCTGAGCTGTTTGCAAAATTTCCTTTGATCTAGTTCATCACCATTTCCACATTTTTTGGTGTCATCTCTCCTGAGTCTTTACTTGTGCAGGTTGCTTTTAGTTACTGGTCCCTAGGTCTGTTCTCTGGTTCTTCTCACCCGGCATTAGGTGTTTGAAGTTTGTTCTTTTTCCGACGTTGTGTGGTCAGTTCTTGCATGTGTTGGGAGGTGCCATATCTGCAGCCTTTTACTGTTCTTCAGAAACTGGATTAGCTGTTCTTTAGATTAGGCTTGTGACTTCCCATTGCAGGATTCTGAGTGTTCTCTGGTTCCTTTCTGCAGTGCTGTTTTCATACCTGAAAACTTTTTCATTGGTCCTAGACATTTTCTGTTGTTAACTTATTGTTCTTTGAGTTTATCTTCACCTGGTTCTGCTAAATATTATTAGATTAAAATTTGAAACTGTGGACTCAGACATCATTTAATTGGGTATTGCAGTATTGTGTTTTATAAGAAATACGTATTTGGTCATTCCGATGACAAAAAATATTTGGTCTTTATTCATAGTTTCCCAAATCCTTGGAATTTCCTAAGTGTTGGGAGTGATTTTAAGTGTCTTTTGTTATGTTAATGAGGTGACTTGGGCGGCACCTAAGGACGGGCTGGTTGCAGGTGGAGCCAACCTTGTGATTAGAGGGTTGGAACCTTCAGCCTTAGCCCTGACCTCCAGGGAGGGGAGAGGGATTGGAAGGTGAATCAGTGGCCAGTGATGGAATCAATTGTGCCTCTGTAATGAAGCCGCCATCAGCATCCCAAAGGATGGGATTTGGGCCGGTGCTGGGGCAGTGGCGCCTGGCCCCTTCCCACACACCTTGCCCTGTGCCTCTTCCATCTGGCTGTTCCCAAGTTACAGCCTTTTATAAACCGGTGATCTAGTAATCTGTGAGCCACTCTAGCTAACAAATTGAACCCGAGGGAGGGAGTCCTGGGGAACCTGTGATTTACAGCCAGTTGTTCACAAGCACAGGTGACGACCCGAACTTGCGTCTGAAGTCGGGGGAGGGGGTCAGCCTGTGGACTCTGGGTGGACGGTGTCAGAATTTAGTTGGATTCTTAGATACCCTGCTGGTGACCAACTGCTTGTTGGTGTGGAGACGCCCCACCCCTTCCCCAACACACACAGGTGGGTCCAGGAGCCAGTTTAGATGTTAATCCACCTGAATTGTCACCTTTGGGTAACAAAGTACAAGGTTAGGAGTACCTGTTTAGTGATGTGAAACAATCAGTGCGAGTCTTGGTAATAAGAAAAATGATCAGGGCAGGTTGGCCACGTCTCTGCCTCATTTTCTGTACTGTACTGGTTATATCCCAGCACTGCTCTTATTTCCTTCCTAGTGGAAGAGAAAGCCAACACCCACCTCCTCTTGGGCATGTGCCTAGAGACCTATGCCCGCTACCTTCTGTTCTCCAAGCAGCCATCACAGGCACAAAGGATGTATGAAAAAGCTTTGCAGATTGCTGAAGAAATACTAGGAGAAAGACACCCCCAGGTAAGGGACTGTAAGACAAAACTTTCAGAATCCAGAAATACAAAATGGGGACAGATAGTCAGCAGGTGGCCCAGGTACATCCCCCTCCTCGTGCCCGACCACCCCTCCCCTGCGCCCAACTGCTTGTTTCTAGAAGGATTTGAGGCTGCTGATGAGTTTACTGGGTCTGCCCAGCAGGGCTTACGTGAGGATTGGTTTGCACAGCACGGTATTTTAGGTACTGAATCCTATGAAAATCTTATGAGGAACAGGTTAACACACGCAGATCCTCTCCTGAGCCCCACCCATAAAATGCCAGGGGAACGTAGGGGGAAAAGGACGGTGGGACCGCATTAAACAAAATTTAAAACCACTGACATAGAATTTAAGCACAGCATGCAGAGCCTTCTGTTAGAACAGTAAACACATTGAATTGAAATCATCTGTTTTGTCTTAAGAGGTAAGAAATGGATCACTTTGTGAATGCTTGGTAACCCCCAACCTAGGACATGAACGTTCTAACTGGACTAAACATGTCCCAAGGCTGCGAGCGGATGAGCAGGGCGAGTTACTGGGCTCTGAATTATCTTCAGGAACGGGGGTTTAGAGCACCCCCTTCACGGGATATCGCTGAGAAATAAGACCACGACAGATATGGAATTCGAATCACGAGGTACTGGAACCAGGCCTGAAGTGCAGGAGGAGGTGAGGCCCGCCGCCCTTAGCGCCACAGCGTTTTGTAGACTCGGTGGGAACTTTCCCAGGAGCAGTGGTGGGTCTCCTCTTCCTGAACATAGGAGCGACATCGTAGTACAGTTCGGCGAGGCCAGCTCTCAAGGGTGCTGAACCTTGAATAGAAGGGGATCAGATCCTGTCACTTCTTTTTGCTGTTATTTTTCATTTGCTGCTTCTCCTTTGATAATTAGTTAGCTTCATAAGTAATATTCAGCCTGTTACCTAGTGTCTAGACTTGTATCATTTTCCAGAGGGTCAGACTGATGCTGTGCAGTGTGAATGATCAATGCACCTGACTTGCTGACGCCCTGACCTTTGCTGGACTGCCAGGCAAGGTGACCCCTTCAGCGTATCCACAGTTCGTCAGACTCCACGTTGACTCTTGAGCTGTGGTGGTGTTTGCAAGCAGCAGCTGCCTGTGTTTCCTTCCGTGTGTAGACCATCGTGCTGCTGAGTGACCTGGCCACCACCCTGGATGCGCAGGGCCGCTCCGACGAGGCCTGTGTTCACGCACAGAGGGCGTCAGACCTGGCGAGACAGGTGGAGCACCCTGAGCTCCACGTGCTGCTCAGTAATCTGGCTGCGGTCCTGATGCACAGAGGTGCGGAGCGCGGGGCTGGGCTGGCCTCGGGAGGGGTGGGTGTCAGTGGATCAGAAGCCTGTGCGTGGCGCTGAGGGGGGCAGTGAGGACAGGATGCTCCTGAACCGACGGGCCAGTGGGGAGAGACGCAGGGGAGGCGCCGTCGGGCCCAGCTCACGTCCCGCCTGTAGTCCTGCCCTGCTGGCCTATCAGGCACATCGAGGTGGAAACGTTTGCAGTGGGACCTTATTTCTGTAGTGCTTTACAGGTTTCTAAACGTTGTCTCTCACGGAGCTCGTGTGACAGGGCACGGCCACTTGATGGGCGTACTCTGCCATTCTGCTCAGAAACCTGCAACGACAGGTCTCTCACCCGAACCACCGTGGGCGAAGGCCTTGGCCACTGGAGTGTGCCAGGAAGGGCTCCATGAGGTCCCAGGTGTCACGGGGTGAAACAAGGCCCCATGCCATGAACTAGACTTGTCCCATCACTTGTGCTTTCTCTTCAAAATCTCTTTCAGAATCATGGTGAAACATACATTTTCTTTATTCTTCCTTCTTTCCGGGTTATTTTAGAACGATATGCACAAGCAGAAGAGATCTACCAGGAAGCACTGAAGCGAGCAAAGCTGAAAAGAGATGAGGTTTCTGTGCAGCGCATCAGGGAAGAGCTGGCTGGGCTGTCAAGAAAAAGGAGACCTTTGTCGTAGCCTTGCCGAGCTCTGGACCCCTTTCTGTTGTAGCGAATTTATGGTAACACCTCTCATTCCAGTCCCAGTGGCACCCTGATCAATGGCTTAAATCCTCTGTCCCTGATACTCAAGTCCCCTCAACTTAGCCTTGCTGGAGGACAAGCTGTACACACTGTGTGCACTGCCGCGTTTGCTTTGCGAAGAAAGCTCCCCCCCCGCCCACCTGATTTTGCTTCTGCGACTGGTGTCGGTTAATGCTTTCCGTTGCAGCAGACGGCTGGTTAGGTGCTGTCCATGCTGGCCCGAGAATAACTCTAGATTAAGAGGGGCCAGTTTCCCTCTGGGGTGGGGTCTGGCATTTCAGCCAGGCGTCTCTCCCATAAGATTTTTGTCCACTGATTTGCTGCCTTCTCTTATCAACACCTGGCAGACCAGAGCTACCGGTCTCATGGCAAAGGGGGATGACAGTGAGTTATTTTCTCTTATAATTTATCTCGTGAAGCCCAGCGTGGGATTTAATGCGTAAAAAAGTAGTATCTTGGCTTGCCAGCAGCATGAAGTTTTAAAGTGGGAATTAGGCACTTGAAAGTATAGTGCCCATTTGATTATAAATAAAAGCGAACTGTATGTTTTTGTATGTATCATCTGGTTATATACAACTGTGAAAAAAGGAGGGCAAGGAATGACGACCCCCTGCGTCCCTGCTCTCTGAGCATTCACTCCTCTGCACCCGGTCATGGGTGTCCCCAAACCCTCTGACTCTGAGTGGGGCCCTGTAGGTGTAGTGTTGAAAGCTTCCCAGTTGTTCTGACGTGTCCCACTGGTGCTGTAGAGGAACCAGTGCCCTGGACCCGAGCTCAGGCTTTTGGAGTTTGGGTCTCAGTATCCTCGTGTGTAGTCAGTCTCTCTCTCAGCCCTGGGAGCATGCATTTGGTGGATGACCTTACCTGGATAGGCCGCTGTGTTGAGAGCTTTATCACACTGCCTCAGCATATGTAAAGTACACAACACAGCGGGCACCGATGGTGTTTTCACCCCAGCAGTTTTGCGGTTCTTCTAAGTACCACGAAGGAACCCTGTTGTTGCTGGTACGCTGGTGGCGGCGGGCGGGGTGGGGGGAGGGAAATAAACTGACAGTTGGGTTCCTGTGTACATACTGGGAGAATCCTTTCATAATAAACTAGACACTCTGCAATAATAGTGTATGTATTCCATAATCTTTGAGTTTCTCATAAAAAAATAGTTTACTGAAGAGTTCATAAAAGTAAAAATACAGGGATTAGACTAAAACTATCACCTTAACATTGCGGATGTATCCATCTTCCCACTTTCCGACCCAGTTAATTCCTTTAATCACTCAAGTCTGACTCTGGAGAGAGAAACTTTAACTCACATTGAGTTTCAGTGCAACCAGTCTTCATTTATTAGTTGACTTTAAAAAACTGTCGACTACTCACCTTCTGCATTGAGAACGTTTTTACCTTCTCACAGTTGCGGGAGTTACTGAAGGGGAGGTTTTTCGCTCTAGGTTTTACTGAGAATTTCTGACCCTCCTCGTTGATGCGGCTCCCGGTCCCGGAACACCTGCGGGAGTTTTCAGACAGCTCCTCTGCACGCGGCGCGGTCACTACAGTTCACTGCACTGAGGCAGCGAAACGAGGAGGACTGGCCTGCCACTGACGGGGCTGAATCCAAAGGTGAACTGTTCACAGTAGTATAAAAACTTGAACTATCTCACTGGAGCTTTCAGGGCATGGATATTTTAAGATAGAATCACCCAGCACACCCACATTCAAGCACTACGAATCTTCTCATCATGAACGTGCGGTGGACACTGGCTGTCTGCCACAGTTCTGTGACCTGTAACTTCGTTCTGGGTGCTAAAAAATAGTCAGTTGCCAGGCTGTAGCTTCAGAACCCTGGGGTCTCAGCCCGCAGCATCCCGCCTCGGTTCACAGCTGACTTGGCCAAGTCACGTCACGCCGGGTGGGCCTCCACCTCCCACACGGTCTGCCCGCTCCGCGGGCCAGCACTCCGTCCTGCCCTTGTTCTGAACCGAGGCGGGACCGTGGGTTTTGTCTCCCGTTGCGGGATCTCTTCTCCAGGTGACGGCAGGTGAAGTAAAACAACTTGCACTGTGATGAGGAGGGGTGAGTGGTCAACAGCCGCCCCCTTTGGGTCCTGAGTGGAGCTGCACAGGTTACGCACAGGGCTCTGATCTGACGTGTTCTCAAGAACTAGTCATAGAAAAATACCAGCATCATCTCTTTGGGACTGTTGACAAATAATTAAAATCTAAAATGTTACTAGTACCTAAACAAAACTTTAAGCAAAAACCTTAAGTTACTGTTTTTCATTCACATTAAAACTTTTAAAGTATTTATAAAGTCGTACCAGCTTTCCGAGTAGTAGGGATTTGACCACTACACCTGATCTAAAGCTTACTTGGAGGACCTCAAGCATACTCAGGTGCGCAGTTCCCTTAGCTTCAGAGAGGTGTCGGTCTGTGGCCCTGTCTTCGTTGCTTATTTAACTGTGGGCAACGTACTGAACCTGCATCCACATCGATAAAAAGGGGACTAGACACCAAGGTCCCCTCCACTACAGAGGAGGCGCTTAGTCAGTGGTTGTCGGACACCTGCTGTCTTTAGAGGCTTGAGTACTTTTGCTTAAAAGCTCAGGTCTACTTAAGAGTCTATAAAGTGCTAGTTTTTATCTTTCTGAGAGACCTCTATCTCGGTGGCATTCCCCCAGAACCATTAGCATCCGTGTGCTACAGAAGGATGCTTCAATGCTATGTTAAAGTTGTATGAAAAAAAGTTTTTAATTCAACAAGCAATTATTATTGAAGGGTAAGACTGATCCTCTAGTACCATAATGGGTTTAAAATTCAGTCTTTTAAGTTATTTGCTTCTTGAGATTCAGTGAAATAAAAACACCTGACGAACTCTTGCCCACAAGGAATCAAAGTGAAAGTAAGCACAGGGTGGCACGAAGGGGAAAGGACTGGCTGCTCCCCACGAGAGCTCAGGTTATGCGGCACGAAGCAAACCTAAAACACTGAGGTTCTGCACAGACTGTAACCTTCTGACTCTCAACCAATAATAGCTATCAAACTAAAGGAAAGTGTAAGTTTTTCCTTTGAAACCTGAGACAGCGAAAGGCTCACATCACAAGTACTCTACTGTAGCTAGTGGACAGGGCGGTCAGATTTATTTCAGAACAAAAGCTTTGCTGGGCTGCATCAAATGCAGGAGAGGAGGAGTGCTTGGGTGTGGTTAATTACCAGTGTGCGTAACAGTGAGGTATGCCTCAAATAAGCCTTTAAAACCTTAAAAACTGAACTATAACAATACCCATGCAGTACTATTTTTTCAGTGCTTCTAATTAAAAAAAAAATTAAAGCCTGCACTGGAAATTTACAGTATGGCAGAATTTTGTTTCTCCTTTTGACCCTAATACGTTAACGTACAGATTTTATGACAGGGTCTGTGTTAAAAATCTAAACATTTATCACAAGATTTTAAACATCACTGGGAATCTGAGTTTGGAGGAAACAAAATTGGATAAAAGTACAATGCCCGTGACAGCCAATATTGTATAACTGGGCTGTATGAGGTTGTTTAGAAGGCAAAGGTTAAAAAGACGAGATTTTTAAAAATTACCCCCCGAGTTGATGCGCTGATTTGAATATAAGTACACGAGATACTAGAGCGAGGGGAAACACTGCAAAAAGGCCATCTATTTACAGAAGAGCGATTTAAAGACATCATGATTTTCTTTACAAACAGATGTAAGAACAGGAATTATCCACTGTTTAAAAACTCTACATTCCAACCCTCCACTATTATTATGATCCACTGAACTGCCTGTATCAGGGCAGCCTTTTCCCCCTCATTTGACTCTTGAAATAAACTTCCATCATTTCGTCGTCTGCGGCCCAGGCTCTCCTGAAAAGTCTCTGGGCACAAGTCCTAGGAGGGCAGGCTTTTGGCCTGCACTTAAAACTGAGACCACCAGAAACTAGAGCCCGTCCCCCACCCAGGGGGCCCCGGGACCCCTTCCCGCAGGTCAGTCGCTGTCGGACAGCGTCTCATACTGCGCGGAGAGCAGCGGGGCCGGCTCCCGATCCCAGATCCTGCTCGGCTGGTGAGGGGCGGCGGGGCTGGCAGAGGCAGGCGCGCAGGCGACGGGCGCACAGGCGACGGGCGCAGGGGGCGTGCTGCTGAGCATCCGCATGGTCAGGGGGTTGTAGGGGAACTGCGTCGAGCCTGCGGGAGGAGGAGGGTTAGGTTATGCGCGTTCCGCTTCTGTTCTGGGCAGTGGAACCCCCTAGCGAGGCTGTGATATGGAAGCGGTGTTCGAAGCAGCGCTAACCGAGGCACTGACGTCGGCTGCTTTCGGACTCCCAGCAGCTCCTTACCTGTGGAGGAAGGCCTGTCCTCCCAGGCCCAGCCTGGCGTCTGCCTGTGGTAGTCCCCTTCCGAGTGCACAGAGGAGGCCGAGGAGGGCCGTTCAGCTCCCAAGTAGCCTTGCCCCGGGATAGGAGATTTCGACTTCCTGCTGTTTGACTTGCTGATCAGCTTTGGTTTGCAAACTCCTCCTAAAAGTGAAATAAATTATTACTGCTGATACTTAGTAATTATGTTCTCAACTTTAAAATCTACCAAAATGCCGATGATTGTCTAATGCTAAGTGAAGGAAGCAAAGTGGTAGCATGAAGAATCCAAACCCTAGTGCCTAATGAAGTAAAGAAGTAACATTTAAAAGAAAGCCAGAATTAACTTACAGCAGCTAAAGTCAAAACGGGGTATGTCCTCATGCCATAAACTCAGAAACGTGTAATCAAGGAACTAGCATTTCTGGAACATCATTTCTTTCTTGGCCTTGGAGCACAGAAACTGCTTAAGGAAATGGAAGCTGGCTGACAAAAATCTTAAATCCTCATTTTTTCCTCCCCCACCAGTTTACAGAGGAGGAATAAAACTGTAGAACAGAAGCCCCTTCAGGGCACTACTGGACCTCAGCTAGAGCCTGACAAGTCAAGGTGGCCCTTTCTGCTGCTCCAGGCTGTACAGCTGATGAACTCAGCAGGAGTTCACAGGAGTGGGAAGCCCCAAGTGGGCTCTAGAACAAAACGTGAAAAAGATCTCAGAAGAGATCAGAGTCCAGGTCACCAGCAAATGTTTTCCTCAGCCCTAGCAGAACAGTCTCACCCTGCCCCCAGTCCTTCGAGGTACAGAAAAAAGGAACAGAAAGCAACTTTGACCCCTCCAACTATCTGGAAAAAGAAGAAATGCAAATCCTTGGTGATAAGGAAAAGAATATAATAAAGAAATGGGCGGGGGAAGGGGCAGGGAACGTGATTCAAACACTGGAGAAAACTTCGGAATACATGAAGCCAGTTTAAGAAAAGCTCAAAGAATAGATAACCAAAATGAAAGGGGCGAAAGGGCTTAGGAAACAAAAGACAGAACAGCAAGGGTCAGAATAGACACGAGGGAAAGGGAATTATTAGTGCAAAGGAAAAATTTGAGAGACTCTCGCAGTAAAAGCAACAGAAAAAGATCAAGATGACTAAAATAATTAGAAGGTTAACAGATACAGAGGTCAAAAACTATCCAGCAAAAAGGTAACTTTCTGAAATGGAGGGCCCAAAAGAAAGAGAAAATAACTAAGAGGAACAGTTGGTAGAACATTTCCCTGAATGCAGATATCAACCTGAAGGGGCAACACCCTCCTGTGAGCAACAGGGTGAGGAGCACTAACACACTCATGATAAATTTACTGAAATCGAGGTAAAAAAAGGATTCTTTGGGCAGAGAGTCACCACCAAAAAAAGGTGGTGGTGGGGGAGACATCTGGTCTTATTTTTTATACAACAACGAATGCCAGAAAAAAGCCTAACAGTGTCTACGGGATATTTTGAGAAAAGTACGTGCTGAGTATCACAACCTGCCAAACTGCCGTCTCAAACATAAAGGCAGCAAGAAGACACTGTCGAGCACGCACCTCAGGATACAGCAGCCTTTCGGAGAAAACAGGGTGTGAAAACCTTACCAGAAAGAAATGCCATAATAGAAAGATTATGTAACCAGGATAACTGTAACTGTGTAAGTCACCAATACTACAACCTTAAAACACACACACTTAAAATCAATAAAAATCGGAAGGTTAGAGCAGAGATGGGAGACAGTGGCTCATCTTTTAGAGCAGGAAGTAAATTCATATTGTCCTAAAATTAACATATATATGTAAAAATAAATAACGAAAGCCCCTAATCTCTTTATCTTTTTCTTAACCTTAGTGAGATCGTCTGTTTGACCATAACAGGAAAATAAACTAAACTTGAAATGTTACTAACCTTCAGGTAGTTTTTAAGGTATAAAGGATTAAGAAGAAAGCTTATATATACACATAGAAAGAGCAGAGTCCTGGTTCTTGTGTGCTTGCTTCTAACAGGATGCATACAATTACCTCATTCCAATAAGCTGTCCTTTTATGTAAACACCACCACTAGCTTTCTGGACGACGTGATCTGGTTTTTTTCCCTCTTTTCTGTGGCTTAAAATTCTTTTATACTGAGCCTGTCATTTTTATTACAATACTAAGTTACTTTGATTCAAGAGCAGAATATGAAATTGCACTTGTATTACAATTGCAATGTATGTATACAGATAAGGACTAGATGCAAGCAAAAAGGGTGACTTTCTGGGTAAAAATTTTCATCCTTTTAAATTTCACATTACTAGTATGTCTGAGCAGGTTAGAAAAAAGACTTCGTTTAAGTAACTAAAACCTTCAGAGGTGACTCAGCACATAAATGAAATCTTAGTGATCCGTTAGAACTTGGGGTATAAATTGGCTTTTTCTTGGGAAAGGCGGCGGAAGAGCATGGAAATGAGCCCTTTACCTGAATGAGGTGACGGGTCCCCTTCCTCTCTCCGGGCCTCACCGCTGGTCGCCACCGAGGTGCCGGCACCACCAGGCACCCCCCCCAGGGGCTGGGGCATGGCGACCCCATGGTCCTCCACTTTGTCTTCAAAGCTCCCCATGAGCGCCTTCCGGATGATGTCCTCCAGCCCGAGGTTGCTGGCAGGGTCAGCAAAGGAATGACCTCGGGAGCTCACGGAGCCTGCAAAAGACGAGCAGGACGAGTCTGCCTGATTCCGAGGGCAGGTCGGGAGACAGGAGCCCCCCCAGGACACGCAGCACCTGGCAAGGTGCCCACAACACAGAGCCCACGTGGAGGCCGGCTAAGGCCAGCGAGCGTAGCTCACAGGCAATGTGGTTTTCTTTGTTAAATCAGGCACCCACTTGTGTGAGAGTTGCTTGAGGATGGCTTCCTTCTCTTTTTAGCTCTTTAATAGTTTTGACTCTCTTTCTTCATTTATCTTTTCAACAAGTACTCACTGAATCTCAACTCATTATTTACCGCCATTGACTCCCTCCCTCCCTGACTAAACGATGAGCTTTCCTGGAGCAGTTTCCTGTATGCAGTCGGTATTCGATACCTATTTGCTGGACTGACTGCTACTGTACCAGTTTCCTGTTGGCAAACAATGTCTTTTGAATCTTACCTGAGGTGGTGACTGCTGGCAGGTTAAAGATCTCAGTTCCTGGCTGAGCAGCTGCTGTATTTAAACAAACATTCAAGTTAATTGAGATGTGATAATCACATACATCGAAAGAGAGAAAGTCTCAAAAAAAAAATCCTACAATAAAATTAACCTTATTTTCCATGATCTCAACTTTATTTTTCACCCATTAAGTGAAGATAAAGTGAAAGAAATTTTTTTTTTTTAAGAAATCACAAAGTAAGAAATCAAAACAGGAGGAGTACTATAATAATATAGCCCAGGAAGGAAAGGAACTTTTGCAGTGCTGGAGAAAACACACAGAGGGAAAAGCTGCCCTCAGAACAGGAACCCAGGCTCACCAGGGAAGAGATGGTGACTCTAAGAAGACCCTGCAAATATCCGAGTTTGAGATTAGATCCAGGGGAAAGACGCCCCGTGAACGGCAAGAACATGACCGCGTGTGTCCCTGCTGTGGTTACCTAGAAACTATTTTTGATCCCAGGATGAGATAAAGATTCTGCCTATTGGTTCTGTTTATTCCTGCTAACTGTGCACTTTGTCATTTGCTCAGTTTGAATGACAACAGCTGGGACAACCTGGGAGCTACTTGTAAAGCACTGTGCCAGAAATAGAAGGAATTTGGGAACATAAACGGTGTTTTCATCACATCTTCCAACTCGATTTTGAGACTTTGAAAGAGAAAGAACGTAGGAAGTAAAGTCGGTGGCTATAAACAAGCGGTGTCCCAGAGAAGAATGTGCAGACCCCAGAAGGGGGGCCCGTCCGTGCAGATGGGGAGCACATATGAGCCCAGACGCTGACTTCTGGGATCAGGGAAAACTGTCCGGGCGGGAGAAGGAAGCTCCAGGAAGACTGCACAGCAGGGACCATGCGGTACAGGCTCCTCACGTACAGGTCAGGAAATGGTAGATGAACGGAACTTGAAACAGCACAGGGTGGTAGGGCCAGCCTGGTAGTTACCACAAAACCTGGGGAATAGGACTCATTCATTTCACAAATATTTACTGAGCGATTATTTGGCTGAATAATAAAATCACCTTCATATTGATCAAAAATGGTCATATGAAAAAAAAATGGTCACATGAAGACAATTTCATATTGTTCAACCAACGATAACACTAAGGTACTGGACTTAAAATGCACCCCTTCCTCCACCTGTGGAGCTCACAGGTCAGCGGGGTGCTCTCTGAGGCCATCAGGTCTGAATCACCTGGGGGGCTTAGTAAAGTGCCAGTTTCTGAGATTCCTGCAGCCCAGTAGGCACGTGTTTTCACAAGCCCTCCAGGTGACTGTGACGGGTAGTGACGCTTGAGGGCCCCTGGTGTAAGACAGATGGGCAGACTTACGAGAGGACACGGTAATTACTCAGAAATGAGGGAAAGGCAGACAGACACTCAGGAGACGTTGAGGCTGACGGGACAGCACCCGGGAGAGCGAGTTGCGGAGCCTCGTGAGGGAACCCTGGAGCGGGGTGGCGGGGGGGGGGGGCGTGGAGGAACAGAGGCCTCTGTGTGGAGAGCCAGCGTGGGGAGTCATTTTAGACATTTAAGGAGCCAGTAAGACGTTCAAGAAGCAATGAGGGCAGCAAAGAGCTTAGTAGAAAAAGCTGAACTCGAGGTACAAGTTTGGGAGTTTTCGGCACATAGTGCAAACCGCCAGAGTGGATGAAACGCCTCCGAGAATACGGTGCAAGAGGAGAGACTGAAAACCAGCACCCAAGAGCCAGGCACAGCAGGACGTAGCTTCTAAGGACACATAAGAAATGGTCAAAGAAGTAGAGAAAAGAACAGGAGAAAGCAGTCCCTGAAAGCCAAGAGGAGAAAGTATTTCCGGAAGAGGGAAGTGGGTCACTAATGTCAACGGCAGAGAGATCAGATAAAGTAAGTTTTAAAGCATGAAGTTTTTTGCACAGTAAAGGCACTGATGTCCTCGGTGGGAGCCCTGAGGTGAATTGAAGCTGTCTTGCTTGCCCAGGGCTTGGATTTCTCAGTTCTACTTCCTGGTGAGAACCCAATGTGCCTGGGGTCCCACGAGCCCACTGGTTCCTTAGTACAACCCCTTAATTGTCCCTTTCCACAATCAGAAATCCCAAACTAAAGCAAATTTTGTTACTACTTGCCTTACGACATTAATAAAATTTACCTTCTGTTAAAGTTAGATACTTGTTTCATTATACATATTCACAGAGTAGAGACCATCTGTCATTCTAAAAGCACCCAACAGAGCACCCTGCTCGATAAATGATTATTGAATTAATGAATGACCGGGCTACTGCCTAAGGACAATGGAAAACATTAGAAGAGAGAAGAAAACTATAAAGTAGGCTTCTTCAATTCATACATAGCATTTTCCTATCAAGAAGAATTTCTTCGTGAAGAAGAAAGAAAGAAAGAATATCTGTAAGCCTGAGGGCAACTCTGGTCAGCCTTCTAAAGTATTTCTTTTGGACAATTTGTTGCCATTTAAAAAGTGAATCTAGTAATCAAGAGCTAGGATAACTACACAAACAAGTGACACTGCTCCTCTTTTTTTCCCTGGGACATTTGGCCTTTATTAATCACGAAGTGTCACAGATCCAAACACACGTCCACCTGGCAGTTTATAGCAGGTAGCCCAGAAGTAAAGCAGATTGTAGGAGGCCTGGGTTCTACAGGGCATCCCACACAGCTTCTGCATCACTGGATACACGTGAGGAAAGGACCACGAGTAAGCCTGGGTGATGGCACGAGTGCTGAAAACAGCGGGCACGTGCATGTCCACCCTAAGGAAAGGCTTGGATGCCCCAGAGCTCTATCCCAGTGGACACTTGCCAGCGGCCTGGGTGAGGATGCCGAGTGCAGAACTACTGGAAGCATGGGCTCTGGCGCTGGAATTCCTGAGTCTGAACCACAGCCCAAGTCACTAGTTATGTAACTTGCAACAGCTAGGAAACCCGAGTCTCAGCTTCCTCATCTGCAAAGCGGAGATGATTCCAGCACGTGGTGTGCAGGGTTTGTTATGAAGATTACAGGAGTCTGCATATTCCCGCTTAGAACGGAGCCTGGAGCACTGCAGTGCTGCACGTGGAGCTGCGGCGGCTGCTGCTCCTGGTGCCGGCACCGTCCTAGGTGGCGGGTCTAGCAGATTCGCACGCCACCCACAAAGACACCGGCAGGGCAGAAAAGGAGCCAGCACAGAGGGCCTCGTCCCATGCTTGGTGGGAGGGACACAGAAGGACAGCAAGGGGAGGCTCAAGGGCAGCTCATCTCGGGAGGCCTGGTATCTGTACCGACATTAAGTGCATTGGAACTTAACAGCACATAGGTTGTCAAAAAGACCCCCTTAAAATGATGAATGTGGTGTGGGTCCTACCACAGTACTCAGAACCTACTGAAAGGCTGAGCCGAATAAAGCGTTTTTCGTGAAGAACACCTGGGCCGGCAGGAGTGCTCGGAACCAGGCCCCCTGATGGACAGCCACTGGAACTGGGGTGCGTGTAAAGAAAAGACTGGAAGGGCACGACCTGTCCGCAGACAGCTGAGACGGCCCGCACGGAGGAAGCGCAGACCAAGGCAGAAAACACTGGAGGGCTAATCCCACCCCACGTGAGAAACAAACGTCCCAGACCCGGCCCTTGTTCCAAGAGAACATGGAGGGCTGCGGAAAGAGGCAAGTGCTTGCTCCCTAACAGGAAACCCTCTCGTGCCCACAGACATTTGGGAAGCAGCTTCAGGATCTGCTGTGCTTGGACGGATGCCTGTAAGAGCCTTCGAACTCAAGGATTACACGAGAGGCAACACTGCAGATACCATTATTAATGCGTATTTTATTGGGGTTCATGAAAGAAATCCCACTTACCCATATCAGAGTCACCTCCACCAGAGGAGTTCAACTTACGAAAGATCTCCTGCTTCTTTGATTTAACCATGGGTGAGGTGTTTTCCAGCTTGGTGAAGAATGAAGGCAAGTAGCTTATACTCCCTGGTGATCGGGAATCATTCCTGTCAGGGACAGTTACGCGTGTTACCATCATGCACTCCTACCCCGCCCATGCTAGTACCAGTCCCAGAGTCCCTTCCCATCTGTTTGTGCTGACAGCCTAAGGACAGTGTGTGACCAAAAGCCAGCGAGGACATCACATCTGAGGACACAAAGATGACATCAGAAAATGAGGACTGGAATAGAGAGAATCTAGAACCAAGATTCTTAACAAAGAGTGAATGGATGTTAATGGGAACACTCGTCACGATTCTGTCTGTTCAACAGCACAGGCACTGATATATTTAGGGTTACTATGTAAGCTGGGAACTGTTTTACTAGCAGAATTACTTTGAAGCACAATAAAATTGTAACTACTAGCACACCTGCCTATAAAATAGCAAGCACTCACACCTAAGCAACAATTAGACTTGAACAGAATAGCTACAATGTAGAAAAAATTACCTATTTATTAGAATCTTTTCAAGCCTGCGACCAGTTGAGCTGAGTTTCGCATAAAGACTTCCTTTCATATTTCATTGGCAGCTTCCTATACTAACACATTTAGAAAAACAAGTTTCCTCTACCAGTGCAGGACTACCAGGATCTAACTAGTGCCAGAGACGGTAACAGAGAACATATGGAAAGGTGCTGATAATTTAATCTGGTCCATCACTCAAACATGAGAACACCTACTGTATCCAAGGAAGACAAAGAAGAATGACTAAGACGTGGTCTCCGTCCTCAGAAAACTCACAAGCTTAGGGGAAACATGTAAACGTATAATTAAATTTAACATCATTCCCTTTCCAAAAATGGATTTCGTCCTCATTTCCTTGAAAGGTACCAACCTCTATTTGGTGGCCTATTAATATATACAGTAAGTAAATAACTATGACACACTGTTAAGAAATGCACTAACGGTTTGGAGTGAGGCAGACCTTGGTCTAAAGCTGGACTCCCTCTCACTTTATTTGATCACCAGCAAATCAGAGCATCAGGGGAGGGTGTTCCACACCAAGAAAGCAGCACGAGTTCAGGTGAGGGAACTCGGGGCTCAGGGAGGGAAGCGTGAGGGTGGAGTGGCAGCAAGTGGGGTGAGGAGCGTGAGCCTGGCCACAAAGAGATTCCATGCCACGCTCGTGACCAAGCAAGTGCTGGAGTCCACTTGAGTTCTAGACAGATCGCTGGTGCAAGTGGACCAGGCAGGGGCCAAGTCAAAGGCATCTAAAAAACCAAATGGGAATAAGAATCCAATAATTCCTAGGGTTGGGTTAGGGTCAGAAACTGCGAAGAGAACACACGGCAAGCAGCCCAGCCCAGGGGCTCACTGTGACCCCCTTCCACTCACAGCCCAGACGCCGGGTGCCCGGCAAGCACTCAAGTGGGGTTCAGCAACCACACAGACAGAAAGATTTTAAAAATAAGATCTAGGACGACTTAACTTCGAGAAGAATAATGAACAATTATGTTCTATGACCTATTTAAATATTACAATTTTTTCATTAAAATCCACTGGCATTAGGTCACTAGGAAAACAGAAACAAAACGATCCGCCTGACACATGACCCGGAAGAGGAAAAACGCACTGACTTCAGGAAAACGAAAGGCATGCAGCGCGCGCACAGGCACCTCTGCTCCGCGGGCTCGGCTCCGCGCTGGGCCAGGAGCAGCACGCTGTCCTGTTTCTCGTGCACGACCGGAACCTGGGGTGGGGAGATGGGCTCGTAGGGCTCGCTAGAGACGTGACTCCTCTCTGGGGACTTTCCAGGCCTGATACTGGAACATACAAAACATTAGACAGTCTTCCCAGGGCTCACCTGCGGCTTACCCTGAACAGGAACTGGTTACCTCGTTACTTCAGTCATTTCAAGGACCAAAAGTTGGCAATACGTATCAGAAAAAAGTGGCCTCATATACTCACTCTGTACCTAGTTATTTTGAAAAAGTCTGTTACTGTTGCTTCGTCCAGGCACACGGAGTCGCATGATAGACGGTGCCGGGGATGGGCCGCAGCCCGGGCTCTGTGGGGAGGTCACTGCCCAGCACCAGACCCCTCGTGCCCCTGGCCACCTACTCCGCTGAGCCCTCCAGGGTCTTGTTGCTGATCTCGAGCCAGGACCTACCAGGTTACTTCCCCATTAAGTTAAAAGACAAAGGACTTGAGCGCCACACTGACACCTGCAATTTAATGTTCTTCCTCTGGACACCATGTTGTAAGGATGGTGTGAGATAAACACTGTTTGGGCCCAAAAAAGTTTTTGGTTTAGTAACTGTACATATTAAAAGCCCTCTGTGACCTTTAATATCTGCTTTTATTACTATTATAGATAAGTATAATTATATATGTATTACTTGTCATTTCTTTCCCCAATCTCACCCCATCCAATTCTTAGAGGTGGCCCTTCTTGACCATTTTTCTTTTAGTTCTTTGGTGGGCACCTCTAAATCATCTAAATAATCAACCTTATACCTTTCTTGATGTATCAGAACTTGAAACAGAATCTTATCAGTTTCCTTCCATGAAAGATGAAGAGCTTGACTACCTTCTCTATGTTGTTGCCCATTTTATTTTAATCTGTAGTTTGTTTACTTTAACTATACACGTAGCATACTCAGCCATTTTTATGTGATTTACAGCATTTACATTCTGTTCTAAACTCTAGAAAAACTCGTGTGTTTTGCTCACTGACTGAAAAATCAGTTAATGGTGTTTTACAACACTATGGATTTTGTAAACATTTTAAACTGTAAAACCAGGTAATCTGACTAAAACCAATGAAAGAAATTTAACGTTCCTCATTCAAATATACAGGTGTAGGGCTTCCCTGGTGGCGCAGTGGTTGGGAGTCCGCCTGCCGATGCAGGGGACGCGGATTCGTGCCCCTGGTCCGGGAAGATCCCACATGCCGCGAAGCGGCTGGGCCCGTGAGCCATGGCTGCTGAGCCTGCGCGTCTGGAGCCTGTGCTCCGCAGCGGGAGAGGCCACAACAGTGAGAGGGCCGCGTTCCGCAAAAAAAAAAAAAAAAAAAAAAAATGTACAGGTGTAGTGATGCAGAAATTACAAGTGAAAAAGTCAAAAGGATTTTCTTTTCAAAAATGTCATTAACTGCTCAAAATCTGTGTAGTACTTCGTATCAAGAATGTACCACGAATGACTCTGCTATAGCTTTCTGTTCTTCTTTGATAACAAGTTCTCTTTTTTGTTTTTTTGGTCTTTGTTAAAAGAGAATGGGTTTTCATCTTATCCTTAAGATCATCCCGCTTCTTGAAATGATTATGTCATTTGAGATTTGTTTCAAAACAACGCGGTCTGAGGGTAGGGCAAGTGGGGATGAAATGAAACAAACTGGTCCTGTGCGGACGATCTTGAAGGTGGGCGATGATGCACGGTGGCATCTTACTCTGTCCTCTCTACTTCTGTGTGTTCAAAAAGTCCCACAATAAAGTTGTGTTTTTTCCCCAAATGAGCACATTCAGCTTCTTAAGTAAGTTATTCTTCCTCCCTATGTTCTCTGCTAACTTGGGGGGTCGGAAGGCAGACTGGAGAACCACCTCTGCTGCAAACTGAATTGTGGCTTCCGCTGCTCTGGGTCATCTACCCCGCTGTGTGTCTTCCAGATCTTTGCAGAATGTCTGACCTGACACCCCAGTCTTGTTCTCAGTATTTTTATGAACTTCATGAACGTTCATGCTGCTCTACATCAACTCACATGCCCCAACACTTAGTCTACTACCTTGAACGAACAGCCCTGCGTCCATTTTTTAAACTTCCAAATGCAGAGCACTGGGGGAGAAGACATGCTCTTTACCAAGTAGCCCTGCATATAAACGTGTTTCCTCTCGTGGTGCCTCTCTTGGCCTCACTTTCATTATTTAATGTCAGCTTCCTAAACATCTGAACATTCTTAGGGTTCTGAAGAACCAGGCCAAGTGTCCCAACATTACCACCAAACCACACATTCTTCCTGTCTTTGCAAACCCACAGAGTAGAGCAATCAACTTGTGAATACATAACAAAAAGGTATAGGACCAAACTGCCCAGTAGACATTCTAAGAATAATATACAGAGGAAAAACCCTCATTTACACTTTCTAGGGAATGAAGGTAAAATAACTTTAGGTATAAGAAATGAATCTCCTAACTTGGAAATACAAACTGTTTTACTGTTGGGAAATTTACATATGGCTTAAAATAAAGACCATACCTTCCCCTGGATTTGTCCACAAGATTTTCTGGAGAGACCCTTGAACCTGGTCTTTGATGGTGAAGAGACTGAGACTGGGATTCTGGGCTATAACGGTTTGATGTTTTAGTCCTCACGGGTGTAGACACCAAAGCAGACGGTGAATTTTGGAATGTAGAAGTGGGAGGCTGCTGGGGAGGCTGTGACGGAACTTGATTTCTAGCAAAATCTTGCGTGATAATTTGCTGTGCGTGAGAGAAGAAGGAATTAGTTAGAGCCATTGAGTACTTTCAAGAAAGTGTAGCGTAAAAAATCTAGACAACTTTATTGTGATTCTACATGAAATGTGCCTCCTACATGATCTTTCTTTAAAAAAAAAAAAAACTAGTAAGAAGAGTGAGAAACTTACACAGATGTGATCAGCAAGTGTGATGAGTCGGTGTGTCCTGGGCACCTGCCCCACCCCCTCGGCCTGTGAAGATGGGGGCGGCGGCGGCTGTGGAGAGGGCGACTCCGGCTGCGGCCGATAGTGGTGCAGCGGTCCTTCGTACTGCCTGCAGGCTTCGTCTAACGGGGACAGACAGATGTCTTACTCCGGGGATGCCCGCCTTTCACTCATGAGCAAAGATTAAACATAACGCAGAGAAACACATGGAAGGGAATTCATATCTTAATTTTGAAGAAAAAATATTTATTCACTGAGAGAAATCAGAAGACTAGCAAACAAAACTAATATCAACTATTATCATTAAAATATACACAAAAAAGTCATCAATAATGGCTTAAAAACCGTTTTCCATTAGAGCAGTTTTAAAAGTTTTACATGTTTCTAGACTCATACAAGACTACTCTCAAACAAAACGGGCTATTTCTTAACGTGCTCTGGACAGGCAAGGAGAAGGAAGTGTGAAAACACGCAAAGACCCACTTTCTGCCTGGCTCGCCTTCACGACCTCCGGCTGGTAGGCCTGCAGCCTCTCGGGGGGCGGCGCGGGGGAGCTGGCAGGGCTTATCACCTCAATGGCATCGCCAGGTGTTTCATACCGGTGAGAAGATACTTGAAGAAAAGAAAAGAATCTATTTTAAAACTAATCCTATAAAAAGACTCGGAAGTCCAAGGTCTTCAAACCTATTTGCAAATTTTCGGTTTTTACTCTGAGAAATGTTCAATGGCACCTCAGGTCAATGGAAAACAAAAAAAAAACACAACGAGGTCAATGCATGGTGTCAAAGGTCAGTAGGCGCTTCCTCGGACTCCTAATCCTGGCAGGGTACGGAGTTTCCTGAAAGTCTGTGGGCTCTAAGACTTTTAGGTGAGGCAGAACAGAAACAGAGCTTGACGTTCTCCTGGGGGCTGGAAAAGAAAATCACCAGGAAACTCATCAGAAGGGATTAAACCAACGAGAGAGTAGATGTCAACAGTCCACTGTTTCCAGTCGTTTCCATTCTGTGGGACAGTCAGCTCTTCTTTACCAGGACGACTTTAAAGCTGTAGATTAAGTAACATCACATAATGATTTTCTCAAGTCACTGAGTACTGCTGACAAAAATTTCTCCCACTTTTTAGCACCACGTTACACTGTGAAGATAAACAAATGGTAGGGAATGTCTGCAGGAAAGCAAAGTCACTCCGTTGGGTTAGCAGAAAGGGAGGATGCACATGCCAGGGAAGGGCCCTTCTATAATGCGGTTCCCAAGGAAACCGGGGGTCTATGCAGTAGGGGTCCAGGTACTTTTCTCAGTCCTTCCATGGCCTGAGAGCCGAGAACGGGGGCGTCGGGGGGCTGTGACCTCCTGCTCAGGAACCTTCTGACTCGCGAGCGCTGTGTGCACCTTTGGGTGCACTGAAGCACCTGAGGAAACGGTCAGAGGCCCAAAGGGTGTATGACCCTGGCCAGAGCAGCAAGCGTGGTCAGGCGGTGATGGGTCCTGAACACAGGCAGAAGGTGGGAATGAACTCTGATACTAGACCACCACCCACTCCTCCAACCTCATCTCAACAGCCCTCTCCTGCCCCCCACCAGGCCACGGAAGCTGCAGTAACCTGGGTCTAGTATGCTCAGGACAGAAACCTGTTAACTGGGGTGGAAATTATCTTTGGAGAACTAAAATAAGTCACTATATTCAAAGTAACTGATACTACTTTGCAGTGGGTATTCATCGCTGTTCATGTGCCAGCACCCTCCTGATCTGCTCCCCACATCCAATGCACAGCCACGGGAGGCCTGGCGCTACTCTGGGAGCACACTGTTCTTGACGCCTGAAGAGGGGGTAGGGAGGCTCTGGAGAGGAAAAACCGGAGGGCACGCTGGTAACTGTGAAGAGCCTGTGGGCTTCACGCAAGGAACTGACTCAGTGATGAAAAGATAAACACTCAGAAAAGCAGCCAGACTCTCTGCTCTCAGACGTTCTGTGACGCAAACTGAAAAGAAGTGTTGTCGGGTGATTAGCGAGCATTCGACAGGCCCCAGGTTGGGTCACCAGATGTGTGCTGGTGACTTCCCTCCAAAAGGCCTAGTCATACAACTAGGGATCTTCCAAATTTTCTGCATGGATAATACCTACTGGGCTGATTTTCACAGTCCAGGCTAAAGGATGTCTTTCATTTACACAACAGGCTACCAAGCTGCCCCCCCCCCCGACTTGTCTCCAAAAACCTCAGCAATGGGGTTATTTACCCAAATAGGTTACGACTAGGCGTGGAACTAACTAAACTAAACAGAACAACGCGTTGCATGCTGGTGCACAGGGCCCACAGGTCATTGTCTCCGACTCTACTCAGTTCATTACTGGAAATGAGAGGTTTCAGTATTAATGGATACTCGTTTAAATACTGGCCTGTTCCTTCAGGAATTCTATATAGAATTTAGGCTGTAGTTAAAAATAAATTTAAAGTAACTTTTCTAGCATTTTACTGTAGATTTGTGAATTCTTACACTTAACAGGGTAGATATCAAAGTGACTAACCAGACTTGGTCAAAATCCAACTTGCAAGAAACGCCAATTACCAATAATAATAATTACCAACAAAGTGGTCCCGTTTTTTAAAAAATCTGTATCTTAGAAAAAGAACACTAGAGGCTTTGGGGTATTGGCCTAAATACTGAATCACATCCTAGGAAACGTTTCTTGAGGAATGAGGCCTCGGTAGCGCTGCGCTTGATGACACATCCATCACCTTCCAGAGCCTGAAGATGTTAGTGAGCTCCACCTCTATCTCCCTTCCAACCTTATCTCCACAAAGGGCATGGCTTCTCATGGAAAACACCTTGACCGGTACACTTAAGACACTCTGATATTTAAAGAGTCATAACAGCAGAAGAGACACTTTGCACCCCTAACCCACAAAACCTTTCCATTACATTTACTGCCAAGATTAGAATTTCTTTACACCGTATGGTTCTGCTTTCCCTAGAGAATCAAGTAATTCCGTACTCGGTACCACAGTGCGAGGCCGGGTTGAGATACATACAGCTACCGGAAGAGTCTGAACTCTGGGAGCCACGTTCCCTCGCGTCCTTGTCCGAGGCAATCTGCCGGGTGATGATCACGTCTATGAAGTTAGCTGCGGTAATGGTAGTCTTCCCTCGGGTCCTTAGCTCTTCCTCATATCTGGATTTTGGAGGAGGCCCTCTCTCTTTCCCAGCCTCAGAGTAAACTACTGCAGACTGGGGCTGGGGCTTGCCACTCGGCAGGGCTGAAGAAGCGTACAGACACTGACCGGGTCTCTTCTCCGCCTCCAGGCTTTTCTGCTCTAGCTGCTGCTCACTAACTGCTGCTGACCTGCTCCTCAAATTTTCTTCTAACCTGGCAGCTTCATGCTTACTCTCTTTTGTTTTGGACACGTCCATCTGGGGAGCAGACGCTGCGGCGTCCACAAGAGCAGCCAGGGCGTCCGCAGCAGTATTGTAACGGGAGGCCGGCAGGCCCTGGCTGATGGAAGGGCCCCCAGCAGGCAGCGGCCTGAAAATAAAACCAAACCAGAAGTCTGTGAAGGGGAGACTCTCCCGGGGGCAGGGGGTGGGGGAGGAAGGGAGGGAAGGGTGTGGGGGGGGCGGGGAGGAAGGAAGGGAGGGAGGTGTGTGTGTGTCTGTGTGTGTGTGGTGGGGCAGGGCAGGCGGGGGGGACGGACGGACTGCAACAAACAGAGTGCGCAGCAGGAGGAAACATCACCCTCCTTAGACTACTGCAGTCACAGATTTAAAAGCGTGTGTGCAGAAGACGGGGATTTCTGATCCAAGTGTACACAGAGACCTACATGATCCGTAGCTGTGCGCTCGGGTCCAAAGGTGTGATCACGCTGGTTCCGTTGGTTCCCTGGAAAACGCTGGGTCTCTGCTGCAACAGGGTCTCCTGAGCTCTGACTGAAGGAGACGGGGAGCGAACGTAGCCGTGGCTGCTGGGCCGGCCGGGCTGTTCTGAGCCTGCAGGGCAGAGGGACAAAGAAACAAGCCGTAAGGAAGAGGCTGGACGGCATCACTGGGGAATCGTTGCCTTCCTAATATTCCTAAATAGGAGAAAGGAAAACAAGGGAAGAAACTTGCTACTCTGCTTTCTGGCCTTTCTAGAAATAAATTCTGTAAGAGTTTTCCAATAAAGATGCAATAAAACCACACTGGTAACTTGAAACAAAATCGTCAGCTACCATTTACTGTCATTTCCATTTTGGTGACAAGTTTCTATCTTGAATCCAAAGAGAAATAAAAATAACACCAATAATGAAGCACTAATACAACTCAGATAAGTTCGTTTCTCAGATTTTTCCTCAAACTCTGGCGTGTTTCTCATTTCCAAAATCAAGTTTGCAACAACTATCTAAGTATCATAATGCAAATAATGCACATCTGCTGCAGCAGGGCCTGAGACTGCCCACCCACCCGCAGCTCTGCAGCTCCCTCCGCTTGGCCGAGGCTCTTCCACAGCAAAGCTCCTTCACTCACAGGGTCTCAGGTCCACCCTCTTCACCCTCTCCCCCACCTCCTGGGGTTCTCGGCCTCACCCTGACTTTCCCACTTGAGCCAGCAGCTCTAGCAAACACCCCTGTCTTCACTTCAGAGCAGGTGCCTAGCACAGCCTTCTGAGCAATTTTCTCCCTTCTGACCTCACATCAGTACTGAGTGCCCTGCAGGGCACATTCCTAGAAGTGGGGTTACTATTTCCGTTTTTACATCTCTGAAGAAGCTATCCCTATTTACACTGCCATTGACAATGTGTAAGAATCAGTGTTTCTTCACACACCTCAACACAGGATATTTATCGACCTTTCAAATGTCTGATGGAGAAAAATTGTACTTTATTGACTTAAATATGCATGTTATTCATCAGTGGGATCACAAGCATTTTTAAGATACAGTTCCTAAAAAAATTATGTATGAGTTCTACTTGGCTTTCTTTAATTAAATCAATTCCCGTGGTTTCTATGCAATCAACATATAATCAATATTATGGTGCTACCTCATGATTCATTAAAGCATCTCCTATGGTCACACACTTAGTGATTCTTTGAATTATATACAGACAACAGGTTACATCTAAACGAACTTAGGCTTTGCAACCATTGACTTGTTGGAGGTAAAGCCCCAGGAATGGTATGAGGAAGTCGGAGGTGACCGCTGGCCTCGGCCCCCTCCTCAATCCAAGGGGTCTGTTGGCTGTGGCCACGGGAATGTGACACCCTCTGGTTCTGCACCAACCTCTCAGGCGGGTCTCTGGCCCCCTCTGCCCCCACCTCTAGCAGCCCTCCCAGAAACATCTCGGGACAGACCTGCTCCTCCGTGCATACCTGCCCCCCTGATATCTTGTTCAAGCCAGACTCTCCACTCTCAATCACCATCTCCGTGCTCTGTCTGTTCTCCTAAGTACTGCTCTGAGTATCTGACCACATGGACATGATCAATGGTTTGATTTCACAGAGTATAAAATGACAACTACGCCATGGGTAAGAACACATCTTCCAAAGACACGTCAGATTAGCTACGGCCAAAACAATCACTATCACTTCACTTTCAACTAATCCAGCTCTATCTGAAGTGCAGACCAATCTTGTTTCTCACCTCTTCCTCAACCCCCATTATCCAGTTATTGTGAAGTCCTTTTGATTCACCTTAACAATATTCATCCAAGCACCTCCTTTCTGGCCATTCCCAGTGTCAACCTATCTCAGGAGACACAGGGACGACACACATGGTCTCACTGTCCTCCTGGCACCAGCCCACACCCGCCTCCTGGGTTCTAACCCATCTCAAGCTGCTCCCATGCAAATGCCCCCCTGATCACGCCACCTGCCTCCTGCGCTGGACCGTAATTCACACCGTCACACAGCCTGCTAACCATGCTGTCCACTCTTCCTTCACCGCCAGCTCCACAAGACACCCGTCTTCACTGGTCTCCTGTGAGCCTTCGCCCGGGCGACTTTCGGCTTCAGTGAGCCCTGTGCCCAGTCTCTGCAGACCCAACTGCTGGGGCCAAATGCCCACGACACCGTCATCGTGGAAACTCCACTCCCTCTGCGCCACTCCAGCCCGCACAGCACCTCCACTTAAGCGCCACCACCGCCTTCTGCCTGGTAACTCTTGGTTGCGAGGTCGCCCCGGCACCCGCTGCCGCAGGAGCACGAGGCCTCCCACCCACCTGGCCGCAGGCAGAGGTCCGAGGGGGCTGCGGCGAGGCGCTCCCGCTCCTTCTCCCGCTCCCGCTCTCTTTCAGCGTTTGCCGCAGCCGCGAGGTGTGTTGAGTGTCCTGGAAAACACACAAACCTGCAACTTGAGGACAAAACGTCAACGTACAGGTGCGTCAAACAAGTTTTACACTCTCGAGTGACTGAAAGATTTTCAGGAAGCTCCAAAGCTGAGCTGTAGGAAGTGTGTTCTATTAAGAGTCTCGAGTGACTTCGGAGCATAACACAAGCTCCCAAGATCCCTCCCGAGTATCTAGGGACAGACGGCGCAGAGGAACGATAACTAATATTAAATGGAAAACTGCAGGCCAAATGCAGGCAAAGGACCCCAAACACCTCCAAGGGCTCTGCTGCCAGGACATGAGCACGTTGCTCACACCAGCAATGGGTGAGCGCAGACCCACCTGGAGACATGGACGCAGAGTTGTACGGCCGCGGAGGGAAGGTGACCTGTGTTCCAGGAATGTAAGTGATTCTGTCCATGGGGGGAGTGCTCGTTCCCCCTGGATGAGGCACTAAAATTGCTGGGGGCATATTGGTCAGGTCAATGATTCCTAGTCAAAAGAAATACAACAAAATTATGTTTTATTTGTTATTCTAAAGATACAGAACTATACCTGGCTTTTTAGTTTTGTTTATCTCTAAAACCCAATGACAATTTGCAAACAGTAAGACCATCTCCATCTAGAGAAGGATATGAAGTACTGCACCCCACACCAGCACCCAAAGACGTGGAGAGAGGAAAGAGGGAGGGAGACTGGTGAGACCATGGCTTCAAACCCCGAGCACACTGGTCTGGTTTCAATATATCAGTGTTGCCAAAACAGCCCACCTCGATGGATCACTTTGTTTGCCTTCCTGGGCTAATGGCTACGGAGAGAAGGAATGGCCGTTTCTTTCTTTCCATCATCCACCCACCGAGCATTTATCAGAGTGCCTAGGAAACCCTGGGCACACATGCTCGAGTCTGCAAAGGCACACACCCCTGGTTGCTGGGTACGGAAGACCCAGCTGCTGCTCCCGGGGGGACAGCCCTCTGGCCACGTCCGGGCGCAGGCCCACTTGCATCTGCTGTGAGGTGATGTAGTCGTTGAGGATCGTCTGCCGCGTGTTCTCCATCGCATAGAGCTGATACTGACTGGGGTAACCTGGAGTTGGTGACAGCTGTCTCTGGAACAGGTAAGCAGCAGCTGCTGAGGGAGAGAAAAGAGACGGGCGCAGTTTAGTCTGGGTAGAACCCACTTGCCAAACGTCACCCACAGAAAAAATAGGGAAAACCGTCTGTTGAGCTATGTGCACAATCACCTTCTAGCTGTCATGGGGCCGGGGGCCGGGGGAATACAGGATTTTGGTAGATTCCTTTTAGACCTTGACATACCAGCAAAGTGAATATAAATATTCTAATGGCAGACGTAATGGAAAGGGGGAAGACAGACTAGACAAAACAAGAGTATTAACCTTTTTACCACTAGAACAGTAGCTAAAAAAAATTCTCCAGTAGTTTCATTTTCAATCTTTGACGTGGACCTTTATTAGATTTTTCACCTGAAGTCTCCAAAAGCTGTGTCTGAAAATAATTTTTTATAGTACCGATCATCTAATACAACTAAATGGAAATATGTGTGAAAACACTTTGTAACAGATAGTAACTTTACTTTTCTGGGGGTAAGAATGATTAGTCTACAAGCATTTAATTAGCGTGTCTGTTTAAAGCAGAGATTAGCCAGCAAAGGGCCAGGTGGTCAGCATTTGAGGCTCTGTGGACCAACAGGCTCCGTCGTACCAACTCAACTCTGCCATTACAGTGTGAGAGCAGCCAGACTAAATATAAACAGACAGGTGTGGCTGTGTTCTAATAAAACTTTATTTGCACAAACAGGCAGCAGCAGGATCTGGCCAGAGGCTGTAGCTGTTCTAACCCTAGGTTAGAGCGTGACACAGATGCTAGGAAGCTGGAGGTGTGGTAAATGAGCAGAACACACACAAGGAACTTAGTGCTGTATGTCAATTCTATCCCAATAAAACTGGAAGAAATAAAAGAAGATAATGCCTCTATCCTCAAAACACTGATCATCCAGCTCAAGCTCAACAATGGCAAGCAAGTGAAATAAAGGACTATGATAAACACTACATAAAAGTAAAAACATGTGCTTCTGTCTGAGAGCTTGAAGGAACTATCATATATATATATATATATGTTCTCCCTAGAAGAACAAACGACAAGCTTTCGGGAGTGTCTGCGTCCCCTTCCTCTAGAACTCCCAGCTGAATCTGTCAGCTGACTGTGTGAGTGGGAACTTCTGCCTTGGTTCTGGAGACAGGCCCTGAAGAACCCGGTGTGGGCTCCTCTGAAACTGAACGTTCTCAAGCGACAACGTGATGGTACTGACATCATCACAGCCCAGCAAAAACTCTGCACCAACCTGCTGATGGGACTCCTTTCACTGTGCAGAGTCCACTGCCCGGTGCCCCTAGCATCACCGTGCCCAGTGCAGGCTGCTCTCTAGAAAACCTACATGCTTCTACACTGACCAAAGCCATGTTTACTCAAAGTCAGTGGTGTCTGTTCAAAAGTTCCTTCCAGCTGTACTTGTTACTGTAATTGTGTAACTTAATGAAAAACTCTGTAAATCTATGAGAGAAGAACAAAAAAAGTGGTTTCTCCAGAAACTAAGTTGACTGCTTTGGAAAGACTCAATATAGAAGCTGAATTAGGTATAGACTAGATAATTTTAAAAGACTGGGAAAAAATCTAGAAGGATTCTGTATTTAGATTGCTTTTAAGTGTCTTTAAATTCTAACTTCACTTAAAAAACCAAACCTGGAGATGTATCATTTATACAAGAAAGACAGTAGTGAGGTTTAATCAGTGGCCCCTGACCTGAGATCAGAACACTGGTGAATGCATGTCTCTGCTGTAAATTGAAACATATAACGTATGCATGTGTCATTTAAAAACAGTTCTTCACATTAACCCACTTTTCCAATCAGCTTAACCAAATGCCATCAGACAAGAGAGCTTTCCACATACCTAGTATTTTTAGCTCTTTCAGGGGTGCTGGTAATATTTTGTGTCTTGATCTGAGACCTGGTTACATGGGGTGCATAGTTTGTGAAAATTCACTGAACTATATACACTAATGACCCATGCAACTGTCTGTGGACTGTACCTTAATAAACAGAAAGTCTAGAAAGCCACACAGGTATGTTATTTCTTTGCTTTCAGTTATTACTACACACGGTGCTTACCAGGATCCAGAGCCCGGTGAAACGGCATGGCTGGGTCCAGATGTGTGGGCAGATGGCTCCGGTAAACCTCCCCTGGGGCACCGCCCCTGTGGTGCGGCTCAAAAGGGCTGTGGCTCACTGCAGGGTCTACCCCAGGAACTGGAGACTTCGCTGTGATGCTTTCCCTCTGGGTAGGGGTCAGTGTCGATTTCCTTTCATGACTGGTAGACTTGCTAGAAGAAATCGTAACTGCAAGAAAAAATAAAGGGGCCAACACCACAAATTCTTAAGCAAAGTTGTTAATGTTTATTTCTCAACCACTCAAATACAGACCATATTCGTATAGTATTTTGATCTTCTCTTCCCACTAAACATGTAACAGTAATCTTGCAGAATACGCAAATGTGAAGAACTGGCAGGCACCTCTGTGATTTGGAGACTGCCCCCTTCTGGATCACAGCCCGGGTTTACCACCTAATGTTAAGGCTGAAAACGACGTGCGACACTCCTCTTTAAACCCCACTATACACTGTTTCGTTGTCTCCGCAACCTGGTATTCTAATTTCTCTTGATCCTGCATGCATCAAACCTCAGCTTACTCTCCACGCCTGCGTTGCCAGCCCCTGCTAGGCTACACTGTGTTTCCTCACTCTGTACGTCCAGAGACTTTCTTACCAGCACCAGTCTCCTCCCTGCCCCAGCTGCTTCTTTTCTACATGACGGTATCCAGAGAGGCTTGATCGTCCCATCAGTGCTACCAGCCACCACCCTCTATCATCTTAATGATTGTGGTAAAACACACGGAACATAAAATTTACAATTTTAGCCATTACAAAGGGTACACTTCAGTGACAGTAATACACACACAGTGTTGTGCAACCGTCAGCACCACCTAATCCTTCAGATTTTGATAATGTCAACTTTGCTATGATCACACAAACCTGCCTGTCAAAACCAAGGAATCAGGCTGGTTTAGTACATCCCCTCACACCCCAACTTGCTCTAACTTGTAGAGCCTTTCCCTCCGCAGGGCACTTCTCCTCTTTCGTAACTAGAGCCAACAAGGTTTGGGTTCACTCTGCGCCCCCAAACAGGCGCTTTCCTCTCCTCCTCCCTCCGTGCCGCCCCTCCCACCGCCCACATCCTTCACGCCCACAGCCTCGCAGAGTGCAGCCCAGGACCCTGCACAGAAGCCCAGCGATAAATGATTACCGCAGTACAGCCAAAAATGCTAAGTGGAAGCATGTTTAAGGGCCTTGGATTGCTTCAGGGACCACCTGGTAAAAACCATGCCTCTCAGTTTGCTGATCTACCTGCCAGCAGCATAAACCCCAAGGAGGTGTGGGGTCGTGGCGCTAACAGCAGTGCCAGCTGTACCCATAGCGCACAGTAACTGAGTCCTTCCTACACACGAGGCGCTATTCTTTCCAAGTTCTTTAAACCTATCACCTCATTTTATCTTCAGAACAATCCAATGAAGTAATAAGCCTTAGTATTACACCACCAATTCACAGATGAGGAAACTATGGCACAGAAAACCTGAGGAACGGGTCCAAGTTAGGACAGCAAGGAGAACCCTGATTCAACCCTGAGCAGCCTGGCTCCACAGCTTAAATGTTCAGCCCCACAGCAGACGGCGCCCAGGAGCCAGGAGTCCAGACTGACTTCCAGAAAACCTCACGGGTTAGCTGAAAATCGACTCTAAGCATTACTTGCTCAAGCACTTCTGGACTCCACCATACTCTGCATTGAGTTAAAACATTAGGCATTTCACCTACAATTACGCCTATTTTAATGTGGCAGCCAGCCTTCCAGAGCCCTAGCATCAAGCACCACCGACGGCGCTTCCGACCACCTGGAGCCAACACTGGGCTGCGTGCTGCTGGCGGAGGTGGGCAGCACAACACAGACGTCAGACAAGGACACGGGAGGAACACACCATCGGGAGCTCTGCTCATCATGGGCGAGCCTCTGGGCGCAGTGCTGGCGTAACTCCCCGGCGTCCGCCGTGCGCTGGCGTCCTCGTAAATCCCCGGGCTCAGCTGTGCTTTGGGGGCTTCGTGAAGCGTTGACCTGAGAACCGAGGGGCCAGAGCTTACCACCGACGTGTGCCGGGAACGCACAGGCTCGCCTGCTTTCACGTCCTCGTATTTTCCCCGTTCGACCGCTTTTATGCTCTCTGGCCTAATTTCCAGTGGAGGCAGCCCACGGGGCAGTCTGCTAGGCCCCGCGACCAAGGACTTGACGTTGTGCTTGATGGCGGATTGGCCTGAACTGCTGTCAGACTTGACGGGTGTGCCCTACAGGGAAAGAGACAGGCGTCACAGGCAGCCACAGCTCAGCCGCTTCTCCACCGCAGGCCACGTCGGGCTCGCGGCAACGACGGCTGCTGTCTGTGTGGGTCTCCATCACAGGTCCACTGAGCTGAAGCTGCACACTCTCCCACACCAGAACAACTAAGGGTAAAGCAGACACAAACCTTCATGTTTCCTTCCAAGAGACCTGACACTTATAATGCTTATAAGAACTACTGATAATCCTTAAGTCGCACTGCAGTCTGAAGCGGAATGGCTACCTGGGAGATGGAGCCCTCGACCATGGGCCTCGTGCTCTGCACCACTTCTGGGGTTTTCTGGCTTTCCTGAGTTAAAACATCTTGCCGTGGGATCTCATGGATGGAGCGCCCCATCTCTTTGATGGTGGTGATGCCATCGTAAGGTTTTCCTTTGGTAATGGCACCTTCAAACGCTCGTATGGGCGGACTCTCCCTTTTAATCTGTTTGGGGTACTTAAGGCCATCTTCAAAACTTTCAGTTGTCGCTCTTGGTGTGCCTTCAAAAAAGGATTCAAGAAACATGCTTATTAAATTAATGCCACTGAATTATACACTTAAAACTGTTAAAATGGTAAATTTTGTTGCACACAATTTACCGCAATATAAAAAAATGAATGCCTTGCCATCTTGCAGTTTCTAATCAATTTTTGGTTTACAAAAGATCCGTAAATCAATACTCATCGGCCATTCTTTTGCGGGGGAGGGGGGGGGCGGTGTTGTTCAAGATTTAATACATCGCTCATCACAATCACAGAACTGTTCTTACATAATGAAGGTGTCTCTATATTCAAAGATTAGGCAACTATCATCTTCCAATACACTATGTAACTCAGAGAAGAAGAGTTATAATCAGGATTTAAATACCTAATATTTCAAAAGGGAAGATATCTTGAAAAACAGATATCTTTTTCAGATATCACACACTGCACATTAATTTCAAACTACTTTGCCAGTGAGGCAGTAATGAATAAAAGCAAATGAGCAAAATGTTTACCCTGCATTATGGAACCAGACAGCACAGTCCTTTCTTTGAGGTCAGAGTGAGGGCTCCCCCTGGGTAATGCTCGGCAGATCAGCCCTTTCAAAACAAGGAGGCAATTCCGGAGTTAGACACAACACGGGTGTCAGTTCATGCACACTGTTCTTAGAGGGTGTACTGTTGACAAAAGCTCCATGCAGAAAGGGGTACCATTTTAGATTTGCAAACTATTCAGAAGAATATCATGGAAAAAATAACAAAAGTTGGAAGTACCCAACATGACATCACCCGTTTCTTTTTAAACATTTTCCTAAATAGAAAATGGCCACAGAAGACATCTATTGTAAGTCAAAAAGTAAAGAACAACACTTTCAAAGCTAAATCTAAACACCCAGTGCTTTCTGACAGAGGTGAGAGAAAATATAGGGGGATTGGAAATCATCGTTTAGCTCTGAAATATACCTGTGAGAAGGGGAAAACATGAAAGATGGATACCTCAAAAAAAGGTAAAATATATTAAATGAAACATGCAAATCAAAATGAAAGAGATGTAAATAACCTCCTAAGAAGTTTCATGTTATACTGCCCACAAATCTGAATCAAGGAAAGAAAAGTGAGATTTTTTTTTTTTAACTACAGAGAAAATCCAGCTCTTAGAAAATTTCACAGGCCTTCAAGATTGAGGAGTCCTTATACTGTTTTTAGTATTTTATCTAGATTAAAATAAAATAATTGAGGTAGGTTAAGATTTAAGGAAAGTGAGCCATTAACAAAACAAAACCATAGCTATCATTTGATGAATGCACGTCACATGCTCAGCACAAGACTGCACACCTGTCTCTAATCCTCACACAATGGTAGGTACAATCCCTTAATTTACAGAGCAAGAAATGGACACAGAGAAATTCACCAGGAAAGAGTGAAGTTAGGATTCAAATACATGTCTTTGCTCTGTCCATTATACCACTCTATCTATCTGCCTCACAATAAAAACAAAGTTCTCATGATGAATTTCACATTTTTAAACTCACTTAACTCAAAAAGAAATAATCTACAAATTATATGAGCATTCTAACAGTTACCTACGGTATGACCAATTATGTTTAATTTTTACTTCCCTCCACTGCCACGTACCACTTGATTTATATGTAGATATGAACATAAGTTTAAACATTTATATAAATTTCATGTTAATATTACCTGTATATTTCATATTACATGCATTAGTAATATATTAATATATTTATAGGAGTTTCATTTATATATTGATATAAATTTCAGGTTGAAATGACAGAGACTGAATACAACCTAACTCAACAATGGAAATTTACTATACGAAATTCAATGTATCTGAACAGCGTTCTGGAAACAACAGCTCACCCTCCAGCGGTGCTGGTACAGGAGACTCCCTCACGGACAGCCCTTGCTTTAGAGCTCCTTCCACTGATTCATAGCTTCTTTTGAGACTGATTTCATGAGCTGTTCTCGGACTCCTCGTCCCTTCTCGGGCATTCTTAATATCTGCAGGACATAGACACAAGTATTGCTCAGACAGAGCCCAAGGCCTATTGTATGGTAAATAAGTTATCTTAATTTCATAATCTCACAAAAAATATATATATAAAAACTGGTCAATCTACTATATACATCTGTGCAGATGCCATTTATAAAAATGTTTTCATTCACTCAAATACATTTATTGAGTGTCAGGCATAAACCAGGCTTGCAGATTAGGTTAACAAATTAAGTCCCTTCCCTCATGAAACTCAGCAGTAGTGGCAGATACAGATAAATTACTAGGTGGTTACACACAGTAACCGGTACTATGGACAGTGGGCTATGAGAATGCTGGAAGGGGATCCTGACATCTGAAAGCTCAGATAAGGGTCACTGAACACAGCACTGCGGTTCACGAAAGTCACTGTTGACTGAGCCAGTGTGGACACAGTGGGCAAAGGGGAGATTCACACCCTGGGTGGCATAGCGTGAGATTTCATCTCACTACTCAGAACAGCATGCAATTTAAAACTGAAACTTAAGGATACACCTAAAGATAAATGCTTACATACATACAGACATTAAAATAGTTATATTTAAGCAGCATTTAAATTCAATACTCTTTCTAGGATTATCAGACTATTATCTACTCCTTAATTCTTAACACATAAAATAGGTACCCCTTTAAAATAAAAGTGATTCTATTAAAGTTAAACAAAGATTCTTTTCCTAGGCTAAATCAAATGACCACAGCTGGCGATGTTAGCTACCACTCAGGGGACACGTAGTATGGGCTCTGCACTGTTAATCACTTTTCATTGACTGTTTCAGTTAATTTTTCACAAAAGTTTCACGAGAAGTATTAACCTTTTTTTACATTACAGAGAGGAAACTTGGGCTCAGGGAAGGAAAACTAACTTTTCCAAAGCAAGCGTGTAGGGAACCAGAACCATATCCTTAGTCACACATTACAACACTGGCTTCAGTGTGGAGATGCAATACTTACTATCGTAAGATAAGATGTGTCCACTTTTGCCTTCATAAATAACATGGCCTTTGGATGCAGCTTCCTCTCGGCCTTTCTCAGGACTGCTCTCTTCAATGGACAGTCTAGAAATGGGTCCCTTCACCAAAGCCTCAGTTGGTATGCCAGCCTGGGACAGAGCCGGGGTCCCCTGTCATCAATTCAAACACAGGCACCACAAACATCACTTGACTTTACAGGACACACAGACGCTCAGAAAATGTAACCTGCCATACCGAGAGTCAGAGCAAGCCATGTCCTCAAATGAGACAGGCCAGCACATGATGGGAAATCAGACACACGTTTTATAAACGTAAAGAAACACTGTACCTTGGTCCCTGAACCCTGCCATACAAAACTTCTTAAAACGCTAACAGGTATCTGAGCTGATGAGCTTTCTTCCCCGCCTCAAAGTCAAACCTCTACGAAGGTACTTAACTCTCAGCAACAAAATGTGCCTGAAGGCCTAAAATCATGCAAATGTAATAAAGCTTTTTCAAAATTTCTAAGAAAAATAAGTCAACAAATTAAATTTTAAATTAAAGTACCACAACCTTCTCTCATATTGTGATAAGAGGGAAAAAGAGTTTTCAGTTACTAAACTGTCTGCTGGGTTAGACCTCTGGTAATCAACAAGAGGGGACAGAAAACTCAGATGCCCCTGTGCTGTGATGTGACTCAGCTTAGGTTACGTCATCCACATTTTCACCATCACTAGTCCTCTTCTGGGCCACCTATGGCCACGGTTCTTGTTACCCTTCCTTCAAGGGAAGCACTCATGGAACCTAAAGTGTAGAACACTTTGCAAAGTGAGCTGCCTACGTTGCATGGGAGAGTCGGGGGCCCAGCCCCAGCCCACACACACTCCAAAACTCAGTGTCCCCAAAACTCCACTGAGGCCACTCTGAACCCATGTGTCCCTGCAGGACAGTGATGGGGTCCACGTGTCCGCTCGTGCAGCCGAGAGGTGAGCTCCGTGGTGAACACCCAGAAACCCTCGCACCCTCTTTGGAAGTGCTCATGTCACACGGACAGACAGATTTGAAAATCGACAGGCAAAGCCCAGCCTCACTTGATCCAGTTCATTCCGCATCCAGTTTGGATACTGGAGCGAAAATGAAGAAGGAAAAATAAGATGCATAGGCCATTTATTTTTCTTTTATTTATATTAAAGTGTTTGCTTATTCTGAAAACTAACATCAAGGGACTGGATAACTTTGGTCAAATGTGAAAGGAGAGATCTTAGAAGTTAGTGTGTAACTTTCCAGATCACTACACACCACATGCTCTATAACCATGTCTCAGAAAGAAATCACTGGACTCTTGTTAAAATGGAAATTCTGGGACTTCCCTGGTGGCGCAGTGGTTAAGAATCCAACAGCCAAGGCAGGGGACACGGGTTTGAGCCCTGGTCCAGGAAGATCCCACATGCCACAGAGCAACTAAGCCCGTGCGCCACAACTACTGAGCCTGCGCTCTAGAGCCCGCAAGGCACAACTACTGAAGCCCGCGTGCCACAACGACTGAAGCCTGCACACCTAGAGCCCACGCTCCGCAACAAGAGAAGCCACCGCAGTGAGAAGCCCACACACCGCAACGAAGAGCAGCCCACGCACCGCGACCAGAGAAAGCCCATGCGCAGCAACGAAGACCCAACGCAGCCAAAAATAATTAATTAATTAATTAATTATTTTTTAAAAAAAGGAGATTCTGATTCCATAGGTCTGGAGCAGGGACTGAAATGTCTGCGTTATTCTAACAAGTTCCCAGGAGATGCTGCTCCTCTGGGGCACACTACACTCGGTCAGCAGGGTCCTAGGGCTGGCTCTTGAATGGGTGCTGGGCAGAATCCCTGGAGAGCTGGAGAACACAGACTGCTGGGACCCCGGCCCCCATGGGTGAGACTTCAGGAAATCTAGGGCAGGGATTCAACATTTATATGTCTAACAACTTCCCAGGTGACACTGCTGCTGCTGCTCTGCGGAACAAACTTTAACCACCACTGTCCTAGGGAACAGAAACAAAAGTCATAGGAGAAAGAAAGCTCGTGACAGGCACGTGCACGAAAGCACAGGATTCTGTTTACAATGAATTCCCAAAATAGAATTTTCCTTTTCCAGATCTACATTAATAAAAAGGCTAAGGACTGTTTTACATTTCAAACTAAAATTTACATCTAACTGAGGAAAAGAAAGACCTTTTATTAATCAAAATTGGCACCTTAGCCTAAAATTAGAAGAAGATACTTGACTTCTGGTGTTTTTGTCAACACCATCCGTATTTCCTGAGACTACAGACCTTCCTTCTCAGGAGGGGCAAAGCAAGCAAACAATTTATAATGATTTTCCTCTCAATTCCTATTTAAGCTCAACACACGGTAAAAAGCTTTGCCAGGAAGGCAGTGAGAGTTACATCAATTAGAACTTGCTTCTTCTGCCAAGTTGCAAATAATCGACCTTTTCAAATGAACCACAGTACAGATGATACGGCTTGTGGTCGAAATGATCACATTACTGTCTCTCTGCAGGCAGTTTATAGATCTGAGGTTTATCATCACTGAGACCCCGTTCCATAACCCAGAACTACGAACAACATAGTCACAAAACTACTGCTGGAACAGCCAACACGCTTGAGACATCACTTCTGGTTTTCTCATGAATGCGCGCAACTAACCTGGGTGATAGAGCCCCGGAGGGATGGGATGCTCTCCACAGAAAGTTTGCTGGAGGGAGTTCCCCGAGTTATACTTCCTTCTTGAATGGCTCCTGTGGTACCTGAATAAAAACAAAATCATTAGCGAATCACACCCCTGCACCTGCAAAAAAAAACACAAAAAAACCAAAAAACCAAGCAAACAAAATCAGCCCCTACTTCGAAGAGAGGGAACAGCAGCACAAAAAGAACAGTTTTTGTTTTACTGAAATGTACTTTTAAAATAATTTTGCAATTATTAAAAAAGACTGTAGAAATATGAAATTTCAAAGTTTTAAAGTCATTTTTATACAGAAAGAAAACTTACATTTAGAATTTAAAGGCTCTAGTTTAAGAGCCCATCATCATTAAAACACATTAACGACTTCCTTTACTATATTTATTGGGGACCAGAGTTTAGTATTTCTGCCAAACAGCATTTTTTACCTCTGACCACTCCTTCATGTTGGGCTCTGACCAATAAACCCTCAGGTTGCGAGTTTTGGCTTCGGGGAGAAAACTCTTCTTGCTTGATGTAGGGCACAGTAGCTACGGACCAAAGCAAGAGAAAGTGAGCTCAAGTGCTGAATCCCTGACTGTGACGCTACAAAGGCAGAGACGGCCACGTCCTCCTCACTGACCTGGCTTGGCGGCCTCCTGCTGCCGCGGCAGTCCCAGAGAGATGGAGCCCGCCGAGGGCTTCGCTGCCTCGGGAGCATAGGAGGCCTGATTAGGAGAAGGCAAGTAAGTGCCGGGTGTTCCCTAAAAATAATGTTAAAGGACTAGAATAACACTGTCTTTTCACAAGGTCAACTATATATTTAAGGTACACGTTTCTGTTTATAAAACTTACCACTCACCCCCCACCAAAATTAAGAACAGGTATTTGTAAAGCAAGAAAATCCCTGGCACAGACTGGTTAAAGTTTAGAAGTGTTTAAAGGGAGCAAGGTATGTCTTCCAAAATTACCATAAATTCTATGAAGATAATATGCATTACTTACAAATTACATAAATAAAAGCACTTAACCATACACACAAAATGTAAGCTACTATTATTAACATTATCCCTCGTAAAAATGCTATGGGATAGAAGCACCAATGAAAATGGTGGAGTAAGGACTTCCAAAAACCCTCCTCCATAAAGGCAACCAGAAAACTAGCAAAAATTTTAAGAATCAGCCTTTTTTTTTTTTTTTTTTTTTTTTTTGCAGTACGCGGGCCCCTCACAGCTGTGGCCTCTCCCGCCGTGGAGCACAGGCTCCGGACACGCAGGCCCAGCGGCCACGGCTCACGGGCCCAGCCGTTCCGCGGCACGCAGGATCCTCCCGGACCGGGGCACAAACCCGCGCCCCCTGCACCGGCAGGCAGACTCCCAACCACTGCGCCACCAGGGGAGCCCAGAATCAGCCTTTTAAGAACTCTTTTCCAACGCTTTATCCAAAGGCTTGTAGAAATCTGGGAGCATTTATTCAAGAAAAATGGCAGAACCCAGGTAAGAACCATGAGCTGTGTGACACCTGGACTTGGCTCTGCTGCCCCTCCCACGCCCCTCACCCCTCAACCCCCGCCAGCTCTGTCTCAGCCTTGAGAACCCACAGCCCTCGACCACGGTGAAAACCAGCAGTCCGGCAGACAGCACAAGGGAAAGAATGGGGTTATCATTCCCAGGTAACTGTCATGATCAGACTGGTCTGATGGTTCTCTGAGAGACCCACTTGCAAAGCTGTCTTTTCTGGCCTGACTGTGGTGGGGAAGAAAGTTCAGGTTTGTCAAAAACTATCAGAGTCAATGGATTAACCTCTCCACTGGCTGAGGCAGGAGAGAACAGCTAGGGTGAAAAAACAGGCTAAACAGAAACCTTAAGAGGAAAAGCTAAGGAAAGAGATATTCACAAGGGATTTGAAAAGCTCCAACATCTTCCTAGGAACCTAGAAGGCCAAGTGCACGTGCAAGGCTGTGTACCTGCCAGGGAAGACATAAGGCGGCCATGAGTTCTCACCGCTGGCTGACCTCAAGGCGCTGAGAAAGCAGGAAGTGAAGACCAAGGCCGAAGTGCCAGCTGCCTGGCTGAACGCTGCAGGCACATCCCAACATACACACAGAGCCCTCAGTAAAGACGTGGGAACTTAGTCTTTCTGGGCACTGAACTCTCTGTCTAATAACTAGCTGACCACTCACTAAGCAAATAGAGACTTCAGTGGCCACACATGACACAAGAATACAGACTTTACTGAATTAGTTCAAATAAACGACAACAAATCCTAGGGAGAAAGGAGAATCTGATTTCCAGAGTTCCACATTATGTTATGTGTTTCAACCAAAAATTACAAGACATGCAAAGAAACAGGAACATATGATCCATACACAGGAGGGTAAAAAAAAAAAAAAAAAAAAAAAAAAAAAAAAGAATTATAGGAAAGTATGAAAATGATGTCTCATCACATAGAGAGTATCAACAAAGAGAAAGAAATCATAAAACAGAATCACACAGAAATTCTGAAGTTGAAAAGTATAAGAATTGGAGAAAAAGAAAACCTCTCAGCAAACTAAGAATATACAGAAACATCATCAATCTGATGAAGGGCACCTATGCAAAGTCTGTAGTTAACATACCTACTAGCGAAATATTGAATGCCTCCCTCCTAAGTTGGGCAACAAGCAAAGTATAATCTCTTCACCACTTCTATTCAACATTGTTCTAAAAGTTCTACCCTAACCAGTTTAATAAAACAAGGAAAAGGAAAGGCATAAAGATTGGAAAGGAAGAAGTAAAACTGTCTTTATTGGTAGACGACACGCATACAGAGAAAGTCCTAAGAAATCTACCCCTTCCAAAAAAAACCAAAAATAAAACCAAAAAACCCTGTCACAAACAGTAAGTAAATGTAACAGGAGATAAGGTCAAGATATAAAAATCAACTTTTTTCATACACCAGAAAGAACCAGAAAAGGAAAATTTTTAAAATATCACTTATAAAAACATAAAATACATTATAAATAATCAAATTAACCGATTAACAAAATTAACAAAACATGTATAAAATCTCTACAGTGAAAATTACAAAATACTGCTGAGAGAAATCAAAGACCTAAATAAATGGAAAGACGAACATGTGCATGGATTAGAAGACTCAATTTTCTTAAGAATTAATCTACAGATTTAATGCAATACGAACCAAAATCCCAGCAGAATTTTTTGTAGGAACTGACAAACTGATTATGTAACTTATATGGAAATACAAGAGACAAAGAAGAGCTAAAACAATCTTATTTATACGACTGCAGGACTTATACGACATGATCTTAAGACTTACTATAAAAAGCACAATAACCAAGACTGGTGCTGATGAAAGGATGGGCAAGTAGGTCAATGGGACAGAACAGAGTCCAGAAACAGACCCAAACATGCAAATGGGAGAGAGAAAAGACTTTTCAACCAATGTGATGGGAATGCAGATCCACATGGATGGATGAGGCCCATCCTCGCCTCACTGTGCACAGAAATCAGTTTCACATGGACCTAAATATAAAAGCCAAAACTATAAAGCTTTCAGAAGAAAACCTGGGAGAAAATCTCCACAAGCTTGAAACGGGCAATGATTTTTTAGAGAAAAAGAACTAGTCGTAAGAGGGAAAAATATATATATGGACTTCCATCAAAATTTAAAACTTCTATGCATCAAAACACACAAGAGAGAAAAAAAATATATATATATATAAAAAACAGAATTTTCATCTGTGATGTATAAAGAACTTCTGCAACCTAATAACTAAAAGGTCCAATAAAAACAGATAATAAGACAGTCACGTCACAATCAGATGTACAAATGGCCAATAAGTGTATGAAAAGCGCTCAACATCATTTGTTATCAGGGAAATGCAGAATAAAACCACAGTGGAATACTACATACCTACTAGTATGACTAATATAAAAAAGAATGACAACAGCGAGTGGAACTCAGACTGTGCTGGTGGCAGTGGCACTGTAGAGCCACTCCGGAAAACTATGAAGTAAAACATACATCTACCCAGACATTCTGCTCTCAGGGCCTATACGAGAGAAATGAAACCACATGTCTACAAAGAGCCCAGTATAAGAATGTTCGTATCAGCTTTATTTACAGCAGCCAAAAAGCAGAAACAGCTCAGGTTTCCATCAACAAGAAAATGGATAAACAAATTGGTATGTTCACCCAATGGAGTATTATTCAGCAATAAAAAGGAAGAAACTACTGATTACACAAAAACCTGGACGGGGACTTCCCTGGTGGTGCAGTGGTTAAGAATCCGCCTGCCAATGCAGGGGACACGGGTTGCAGCCCTGGTCTGGGAAGATCCCACACGCAGTGGAGCAACGAAGCCCGTGCGCCACAACTACTGAGCCTGCACTCTAGAGCCCGCAAGCCACAACTACTGAGCCCACGTGCCACAACAACTGAAGCCACGCACCTAGAGCCCGTGCTCCACAAGAGAAGCCACTGCAATGGGAAGCCTGTGCACCACGACGAAGAGTAGCCCCTGCTCACCGCAACTAGAGAAAGCCTGCGTGCTGCAACAAAGACCCAATGCAGCCAAAAAAAAAAAAAAAAATCTGGACGAATCCCTGAAATCATTAATGCTAAGTTAAAGAAGACAGACAAAGAAGAGCCAAAGTGTAAGACTCCATTTATATCGAGTTCTGGAAAAGGCAGAACTAACCTACGACAACAGAGAGCGCTTGAGGCAGTGGAGGAAGAGAGCCTAGGAGGGGCGGAAAAGGCCCCCAGCCCAATGGGGGCGCAGTCACTGGTGGTGAACGTCAGTCAACCTGACTGAGGCTTTACAGTCAGACCACGTCCAGAGAGAAAGGCCAAGGTCAGAATAAACTAGCTTACCAATCATCTACAATTTAATATTAGAACCTTTAAAATAGTTATCCTCTAGTACTTGAAACTATTCCATCTCCATTCATGCTACACTACACTTCAGGGCACACGCACCTTTCCCGAGCTAAACCAGACGGGTGCCACTGTCACTCAACCTGGGCACATGACTCGAATAAACTTCCTGTGTGTGGTATGGAATAGAAAATGACTGCTGCATTTTCAGGTCACTGTCTCTTCATAAACAGACACATTTTTATTTATTAGGACTCTGACAAATTAATATGGGAAGGAGGGACAATTTTTACCAAAGCAAAAAAACAACAGGCCATCTACTGGGAAGAGAAGCCCTTTTACCTGTGAGATGGAGCCTCCCAGTATAAAAGATGGTTTTTCTGAAGCCACTGTGGTTTTGGATGATGGGATGAGAGGAGGAGGTGGCCTAGTGGGTCGAGTTGTTGGAAGCCGAACCCCTTCAGGGAGGTTAGTTATCACTTGATGCGGAGCAGGCTGGAGGACTTTCAAAAGGGAGAAAACATTATTTAAAATAGTCAATTTCCTAGTTTGCGACATTCCACCTATCTCAATTGTTTCTTCAATCATGTTTAAACTGTGAGTGCAAGATGAAGTTGAGGATGAACATTTCTATTTTAAATTTCTTTCACTTAAATTAAACCTGTATCCATACTCAGGTCACGAATGGTATTTGTGAGGTTGAAATACTCAACTCCCTGGCAAACCAGAGCTTTCAGGCTGACGTCCATTTCAAACTATTTCTGCTCAGCATATGCAAATGGCAAACAATTTTTTTCTCTCTCTCCATCACTCTTTGGACCTCACGATGGAGGTGAGAAAAAGGGTGTTTCTTAGGAACAGCTGATATTACAACTCTGGAGAATATACAGATTGACTGACAACCAGTTATACGTCCTCTTTGCATCCTGCATAATTTGGAAACATTTGCTGATTCTGACTCTCACAGACACTTGAATTTTTTTTAGGGGGGTGGATCTCAAGATTTTTACAAAGTACATGTACTCTTAAAAGAAGGCAGTCAACGTCACAGTACACATGTATGAACACAAACCTCCCAGTGGCCCAGTGCATCTCAACTGAATACAACTGAAGATGGAATGCAGAGAAATTCTGAAACAGCAAGGACGCATCCTGGGAGTAAACCACCCAGGTCATCACGTGTAGGTTGATGGCCAGCAGCCACGGCACAGAGGAGCGGTATTTACCTGGCGGGACACTACAGCGGGCTGCACTCACATCGGGCTGTGGCGCAGCTTTACTGACTTCTCTCGGAGAGAGCCTACACGGTGATGCTGACCTTGCTGCGGTACTGCGCATCTGTGCTTCCTGTGCTAGAGCACGTGTGACCTCAGCATAAGGCATATAGGCGACTGATTTTCCTATGAAAGTTAAAGTTATCAAAATAAGGGAAGAACCCCATATTAAAATAGTAAGTGTGAAAGGACCAAGCCCACACCATCCAGGGGCAGATCCAACTATACACTACTATCAACATCTAAAATTCCCGGCGGGGGGAATCCACCCACAGAGAGGTTTAAAAAAACCCTATAAATCTAAATCTTCTGTGCAAGCGTCATTACTGTGACCTAATAAAATCCTCAAAAATCCAATTACAACTTTTTCTTTCAAATCACAAAGAATTTCTCTTTCCTCTCATTAGGAGAATCAAGTATTTCCACATGCAATAAAGACCACAGCAGGCAAACATCAGATTATCCAGCCATTCTGTGAATTCAAGTATGGCCTGAATTAGAGGCCAGAACTCTTAGGATTTCAGCTGTTATAATTAGCCTGTTGAAGCCCACTGCTTAATATTCAGAGAAATAAATGTAATCAAGAAATGGAAGAAGGGTTTCAAAAGATACAGATCAAAGTAATTTTTAAAGGCTACACAAGCTTATAAAACTATGAATTTTACTGTAGTAATGCTGATGAAAATTATTCCACATAATTTACCTCTACATAAAGTATTAAAAAAAACTTGAAGCATTTAAAGGGCATATCAGATATGCAGAGTCATATTAAGACTTAAAAACACACATATATGTAATTATATATATATAATATAAATGTTTTCTTTTTTTAAAGTGAATCGACATACTGTAATTTTGGAAAATAAGAAAAGCACAAAGAAGAAAGTAAAAACTCATCTGTAATCCAAACCACTTTAAATTGTGGCATTTTAATGTCTGCCGGAACAAATTCCCATTCATTTTTTATTCTTTTGCTTACCTAGTCTTACCCATTTATTCTTCCAGATAAAACTAAATTTAAAATCATTTTGAATACTTCCTCCCCAAACAAAATATCACTGGAATTTTCAGTGGACGTGCATTAAATTTATCTCCTGTATTTATAGGAGACTTGACATTTTATAATGAGCTTTCTAATTGAGGAAGCTAGATGTTTTCATATAGGTCATTTTTCATAATTTCATTAAAAGTATTCATAGGTATTTTATATTTTGTTGTGAGGAAAACCATCTGTTTAACATACATGGGAATATATATATATTTATATATACTGATTACTGCAGATATATAAGAAAGAAAGTTGTAGATTTCTGTATATCAATTCTTTCTAAGAAACGTAATGAACTTTCCTCTTAGCTCTAATAACTTTCTCAGTTAATTCTCTTAGGCTTCCTAGGTGAATAATCTTACCCTGTGAATAATAACTTGTCTTCTCCCTTCAACAGCTAAACCTCTTGTTTGGTTCCTTTCTTTCTTCCTGCACTGCAGTAAGTAACACTGGGCATCCTCAGAGGTCCTTTTCTAAAGAGAAGGTCTCTAGCATTTCACTTTTAAGTGGATGGTTTGTGACTGGTTTCAGAGAGAGACTCATTAGCACAATTAAAACGTTCTTTAGTTAACTAAGATATTTTTTAAAACCAGAAACAACAACTGCAATGTCAGCTAATAGGAATCTGTACTACGGGCAGAGCACTGCGTATTACAGGAGTATCTCGTTTAGCCCTCATGACTAATGAGATCATTAACACCATTTGACAGAGGAGGAAACTGAGGCTCAGAAGAATCACACCTAACTGCCCAACCAAGGCTGGAGATTTTTCGAAAGCAGTGCAATTCCTGGCCCTGAGCTCTAAACCATCCTGAGTGCAATGGTGTCTCCCTGAGCACTTGGGTACAGAAATTTCAGATGCCTCTGGGGTAACCATGAAGATGATGTTACCCGTTCCTTCTCTGAAGGATTAATATAAGTGTCCTAATACTGTGCAGATTTATGAAATAAACCAACTTTAAAAGAATATCACTTCTCCCTTTCTAGAGAATTTAACATGAGAGTGCATTGCAATATATATTACATATATTCAGTGTCTGATTGTTTTATAATCAGGTGGGAAAACACACTTTGTCGTAATAGTGCTAAAGAAAAAGACGAAAATTTAGATGCTTTTAAATATAGCTATTTAAATCATCATGTGCTCAGCTGAAAAAATTAAGAAACAACAACAACAAAATAAACTAGATTCAGTTGCACAGAGGCATTAACTCTTATTTTGATTGGATTGATTTTAAAACCTGCATTAGAATTTCACTTCTCTCTCTCTACATGTGTAAAGTCTGAGTCCTTTCACCGTAGAAAAAAGGTTTCCAACTAAAGCAGGAGTCAACTTGTGTAAACGTCACTGGAAAATGAAAACAATCTTTCTCTGAGGTTTTTTCAAGCTTTTCTACAAGTGGAAAGGCTTAAGCCACCTGTCTCATTGATATTGAGAAGGTGAACACAATCAAACAGGTGGACAACAGGTGCTGCCTGTTGCCTTCTAAATGAGCCCATGAAGGGAAAAGCCAAAACTGTGGTCCTACCTCATGTGGACAATACCAGTTTGGTGATGGTTTATACATAAATCCTCTTCTCACTATATTTACCATCCTATAAACTATTCTATGATGCCGCACTGAAAACATTTTTATCAAACGGTCTACATACAAGCAAGTTAACTGCAAATATAGAAATGTTATTTGGGAGATTATCCTTTAAGCGAAATATAGGATAGCTATAAATTCAGGAGAGCCTTCAGGCACTTGTTAAATAAATTACTGGATGAACATACTAGCTAGATTAGCTAAAACATAAGTTAAACCTTGGGATAAAATGTAATCAACCATCCCAGTTTGTAGAGAGTCACCCTGAACCAAATTGGTGTCTTATTAACAAACACCTTGGTGTCATATTGATCAAATATATAATGACAGTTTGGTTTTAAGACCACTGCATCACTATTAAAAGTAAGGGTACCATTCAGATCTAAACCACATGAATTAATGTGACTGATCACGGAGAAATGCAAGTCACAGTTTGGAGTCTCAGAATTTAGGGCTCTAGCCTAGTTCAGTCTCTCCAGCTACCAAATACAACCCATCTCGTAAAGGAGGTCAAGAAAAGAAACTGAGGTCCTAAAATAACTATACAATATAGACATATTAGAATGACCCAGATATTGTCACCTGAATAATGTTAAGCTTTAGCATGAGTTCGGCAAATACCTTTGAATGTCATTTTTTCTACATTTTAATTCTGCCTTAAAAATTTATTCTAAATCATTTATGTAAGGAATAGATCAAAAGACTTTTGAATTATTCTATAATTTATCATTCTCATAATGACAGATTTTCTCATAATTGAAGATAAGCACTTCTGCTAAATCCATTTTTATCCTACTTCATTTAATCATTCCTTTAACATGTAATTACTGGGTATACATTATGTCAATTACTGAGTTAGGAATTAAGGATTCCCTAGAGGCAATATACTAAAAGCCCAAAGGTTAACAATGTTTTTTTTTTTTACCTTCATTCAAGAAATATTCATTTAGCACCTATTATACACACAGCCCTGGTGGGTATTAATCACTCTGGTTCACATTTTTAATAGCATAAGATTTATATTTAAAACATTAACAATCTGATATGTAAAACTCTAACATAAGAGGTTCAGTGTGTCATGCAACTAATAAGTCATTACTGGTGTGACAGGGGCGGGGAGTCAGCAGGATCAGTTAAGCAGCACAGTTCCTCTTTTACATTAAACAGCCCTTGAAATGCATGGTGTTCTACAGCTAATAGCTCTTATCTATGTCAGGTACTACAGTCTTCTGAATCATTACAAAAAATGAAACCATAATCAGAGAAGACTTTAATAGTCTTATACGCTACACACATCATACTGGATAGTCCATAAGTCATTATCAACCAGAATACATGTGCCATTTTCTTACCATGCCACAAGAAGTTATTAAAATTTAGAAATCGCTCCCTTTTTTCTTTTTTTAAAAGAAACTAAGTGTATCATGCACCTACTTAAAAAGAGCATGCACAGCTCAAATCTGTCACTTGAAATAACAGTGACGTACAACGATAACAGTACCTTCGTGGTATCTGTTACACTATGCATATACGAATATACTACTATTACTTATTATATTGTACATAAAATGACGCTGAGCCATGTCTTATAAAACAATACTGAATGCTCATTCTTTCTTACAGGTTGTAATCCTGGCAAGGCAGAGATATAGCTAGATTAGACAAAGAGACAGACAGATATATTATTTGCACTTTACAGATGAGAAAACTAAAGCTGAGAAGGTCAAGTGGCTTGCCCATGGCCAGAGCGAGGGATAAGTCAAGGTCTGACTGGCTATATGCTACACAGAGCTGTCCCCTGTCATATCAGAGATTTAGAATGTTACTCTGATTTGCTTGGAGGACAGGACAATTCTCACTCTGGAAACTCAGATGAATGCAGCGTAAAGCATGGCTTTTATGCAGTCATCTGGCATTAAGGTGAACATCAGAAAATTCACATTAACAACATGACTATTGAAAATGTTACTGCCATCCCTCTGTGGTCAGTAATGCTGGCATTCTTTAGTTTAACTGAGGTCAATTTTATCTGTGAGGGACAAGCGCCATAAATCAAGTTCCTAAGCACTAAGGACACTGCTTTCAAGTATAGCGTTGTTTCCCACCAAAAAAGTTCTCTGTGGCGCGAGTGCCACCTACCTTCCCACTCTCTGTTTGGGCTCTTGGGGGCGCCACGCGGGCTCGCAGAACCCCTGCGCTCCAGGTCCATCTGCTCCTGCCTCTGCCGCTGCTCCTCCAGAAGCGCTGACTCATGCATGGCTTTGATGTGTCGCTGGTAGAGGGCGAAGCCGCTCACTGGAGTTCCAATCGGTATGTTACATGGGGTGCAGGAAACCTACAGGAAGAAGAAAATCTAAATACGCCCAATGACCAGCAAAACAGTAATTACCATCTGTGGCAAGTAATGCTTCTTTCTGTAATATGACTGCTTGAAGTGATTTTATCATTTTTTAATCAAATCTTCAAGCATAATGCTTAAAATGCTAAACAATTACTTTCAGATCTGAACACAAAATAAATCCCAAAGTTGTGGTAAGAGAAATCAAAACAGAAATCACAATATTTCCATTTGCTTTTAAATCACGATGTTGAGTCCCTAGTGGCTCAGGCTTGGGTCCCACCCTCCTCTCTGCCCTCTCACAGGTGCTCGCACCCACTTCTATGTATTTAAATGTCATCTGTATGTTAACGGCTCATAAACTTCTATTTCTAATACATTTTCCTGCAAGTTCCATACTCACAGACTGCCTACCTAACAACTCCACTTGGATATCTCAAAGCACCTCAAAACTTATATTCAAAACGGAACTTTTCATTTGCTAAACTCAATGCTTCTCCTACAGCAATCTCCATCATACGAAACAGAACCACAGCAGCTTAAGCCAGAAACCTGGCAGCCACACTGGACTCCATCTCCTCTCTTCCTATAACCAATTCATTATCATACCAATTCTCTTCAGGATGGAAATGAAACGTCACCTCTTCAGACAGGCCGTCCCTAACCATCCAAAACATACTGCAAACCCCCTCCCTCTCTTTCACAGCACACAGCACTCGCCACAATTTGCAATTAGATGCTGGTTTTCTCTGCTTCTTTTCTGTCTCTCCCACTTCATGAAGGAACCCAAGCTGCTTTGTCCAACACTAAATAAACAGCCCCTAACTCAGTCCATCACTTGATGAACACAGAAGAGTCCTGGGAATAGAAGAGATCTGACTCTTTTAGAACCTGTTACCTAAAGACTTCCAGAGTTTTCTCCACTGCCGTAAGTAGGATTTTTCACTGCACCCATAACACACACATAATTTTCTTGCCTTTGTGCTTTGGCTTATATGTAAACATGGCTTTCCTCCTTTTGCTATAAAGCAAAATGAACTGTTTTGGTCCAACCAAAACATTATTTCCTACATGGAGTCTTCTTTAAGTGTCTCTTTAAGAAGGAAGCTCTCCTTCCTTTGAATCACCCATAGTATATTTTTCAAACTAAGAGAGCATCATATTTTAATTCTTTAAAATTTTTATTATGATTTTTTTCTATGTCTTATTATCAAGACCAATCTCTAAATTTTCTGAAGTCAGAGATCATGATATTCCACACAGCATTAAAAATGTTATCTTGAACTAGGCAGACAATCAATAAATGTCCATTTGGGTAAATCAATGAATGAGCAAATGCTTAATGATTTTTTTGGTGAGCCTATTTATCATAAGTACACACTTAGGGCTTCCCTGGTGGTGCAGTCGTTAAGAATCTGCCTGCCAATACAGGGGACACGAGTTCGAGCCCTGGTCCGGGAGGATCCCCATGTCGCGGAGCAACTAAGCCCGTGCGCCACAACTACTGAGCCTGCGCTCTAGAGCCCGCAAGCCACAACTACTGAAGCCCACGCACCTAGAGCCTGTGCTCTGCAACAAGAGAAGCCACCGCAATGAGAAGCCTGCGCCCTGCAACAAAGAGTAGCCCCCGCTCACTGCAACTAGAGAAAGCCCGCATGCAGCAGCGAAGACCCAATGCAGACAAAAATTAAATAAATGAATAAATAAACTTATTTTTTAAAAAAAGCACACACTTAACTTTTACATATTGTCATGTGAGACGAAATAAATTTTTATTCTCTGAAATAAAGCAAGAGCTAGAACATAACTAAGTAAAAGATCAATACCCAAGACTGGAATTCAGGATCAAAAGGTAGTCAAAGTCACGGAGATTAATAAGGTAAAATGTAAATAAAGCCAGATTTGGACTGTATACTAAAGTTAACCATAACCTCTATAATTTATTCTAAATATTCAAAACCCAGTTATATATTTATTCTACTATTGTCTTATAGCAAAACAAAACAAACACAGAACTTACAAACATTTATGGCTAGAGCACTATATTTCTCTTTTTTCCTTAATTGGAAATGACCATTTCAATCAATTATCACAATGAATCCATTTGAAAAAGCAATGTATCCAACAGATGAATGGATAAATAAAATGTGGTCTATGCAACAGTCTTAAAGTGGAAGAAGAATTGGATATGTGTTACAACATGGATTAATCTTGAGGACATTATGCTGAGTGAAATAAACCAGCCACAAAAAACCAAATATTTACTGTATGAGTCCACTTATGTAAATAGCCAAATTGATAAAACGGAAAGTAGAAAGGTGGTTACCAGGGGCTGGGGGAAGTGGGGGAAGGAGAGTGATGGTTAAATGGATATACTTAACCCTACTGAACACTTAAAAAAGAGTTCAGACGGTAAATTTTATGTTATGTGACTTTTTACCACAATTTTTTTAAAAAAACAAGCACTGATTAAAGAAGAGAAGAAATGTCTCTAAAGGTTTTTGTTTTCAACACCTCTTACTCACATTGAAAACTTACCATTGGCGGGATGACAGCAGCTCGATGCTGAAGCTGTGGCAGATCCAGTGGATTTGGTTTTATTGGGGACGAGACCAGTATAGATCCAGTGGGGTTTAACAATGAAGGTTTTGAATCCATAGGAAACATTCTACAAATGCAATTTAAAAAGATAAATTAATATATTCTTATTTAAAACTTTAAACATGCAATCACCATAATTCCTTTTAAGTTAACATGTACACACACACACTCACACACACACACACACTCACACACACACATCACATTAACTTTGCATATTTCAACAGTCAGGAAAAAAATCTACAGTGCTAATTTTCTAGGTAAAGAAGCCTAACGTTGCTTTATAGGTTGAAATTTATCTGAATTTAATCATCTGCATCTAACCAACAGAACAGTCTGAACAAGGGCCATTATAAAAAGTTAGGTCCTAATTTATCATTAACATAGGTTACAAACTATGTTACCTGTAACAGAATGTTTCTCTAGGATCACAGAGTATTTTTTTAAAACATCTGAATAAACCACCATCATTTTAAAACCAAGAATCTCACCCAAAATCCAGACTTCTGGTTTCTCATGAAAAATGGGAAGAAATGGCACCTCAGAGGCAGCACTCCCATGCAACAGCGGGCTGAACTCGCAGGGCTGCCCTCCCCACCCAGCCCGTGCTCCCCAGTCACAGCCCTGCCATCTCACACTCCACCAGCTTCACTCATTTTCAGGACATACACTTGAGTTTAGGACACCCAACGTATGAACTGGGGAAATTACATCAATACCTTACAGGTTCCATCATATTTCCCAGTGTTGTCAGTTACTGGGGAAAGATGAACATTTTCAAAGGTATAAATTGGTAAGAAAATTAGAATGTGTAAAAGAAAACAATTTACATATTACACAAAGAATAAAGATAATATTAAAGATATAGAAGACAACTGAAAGTGTTATTTTGATAGTTTGGAAGTGAAGTAAACTTTAGAGTATCATCCAGAGACCACTATATATTTATAAGGAATTTCAGAATTTCACGATTATTGTCACGGTCATCTCTTAGGATGCTCCTCTCCTGTAAGATTACTGCCATCCTAATTTTTCCTTCATTTATAAATTTATAAATAAGTTACTGATTATAAAAAAAAAAGTTACTGGGCTTCCCTGGTGGCGCAGTAGTTGAGAGTCCGCCTGCCGATGCAGGGGACGCGGGTTCGTGCCCCGGTCCAGGAAGATCCCACATGCCGCGGAGCGGCTGGGCCCGTAAGCCATGGCCGCTGAGCCTGCGCTCCGCAACGGGAAAGGCCACAACAGTGAGAGGCCCGCGTAGCGCAAAAAAAAAAAAAAAAAAAGTTACTGAAACTAGCAGTGTGAAACACAGGTAACTCTTATTTTAGTTGAAATATTTCAATAAAGCATGCTTAAAAAGGACCACACAGCTTGAATCCATTGATGTTTACTCTAAAGCCTGGGACAATTAAAATCTAGACTACTGTGACATGAGAAGAAAAGAGGGCTAGAATCTTCAATTTTCTGAAAAACCAACGGTTAAGTAGGAGCCCTATATTATTTTCAATTCTTGTTGATTACAATTCTAGTATCTACCATATAAAAACCTCTTTGGAGAAACCATCACTGTTATGTTCAGTATTATTCTAGTACCAAGTCTCATTCTAGAATACGTAAGATGCACAATATACTGGATATGGACTGAAAGCACAGTGACACCAGGACACACTATGGAAACTGAGCTCTGAGCAGAACCTGGCTATCTCCTGAGAGCCTCTTTCTTATTAAAAAGGGGAAAAAAACAAAAACAAAAACCAGAACTGGATTGGATTTCTGGTTAAACGACGTTTTAGTCTAATTCATTTCTAGAATTTGCACCAATCCAACATTCTACTGTGATTCTAGGTGAGTCCATTGCTTTCAAGGAAAAGGAAACACCCAGGAAACTAAATATATTAAAGAAGTTGGCATCTACTCCTGCAAAATATGTATTTTTACAGTAATTTTTATAAAAACCATTAAGATTATATTTGCATATTATTAATTTGACTAAAAGTACTTATAAGGTAATTTGTATTGTACCTGATATTTTGAATTACAAATATGAATAACCTACAGTTTTAACTGATACAAAAAAGTGATCGTTATATAATGACCACTAAGTTAAATCTTGATTACGCTTTCTAACACACTTTCACTCCAGCTCCCATCTTCGCCCTCAGCATCTCTCACATGTCATGTGCAGGCCCCCAGGCCTGGCTTGAGGCTGCTCGGTCTGGGGGCAAAGCTGGAGCCAGCGCCCCCCACACCTCCACTTTCACCACCACGTCACACGGCTCTGCCACAGAAGCGGCTCAGGCCACAGCTCTGTGAGCTGACAGCCCCTTCTCTGCTATCATAATACGGCACACACGTAACAAGTGATATAGAAAGAAATTAAAACCTTTCTCATTAAAGAATAATGATCACACAATTCTCTTTGGTTACTTAATCAGGGGAACAGCATCAGAACCCAACACTAAAAGCAGACAGAAGGACTTCCCTGGTGGCGCAGGGGTTAAGAATCCGCCTGCCAATGCAGGGGACACGAGTTCAAGCCTTGACCCAGGAAGACCCCACATGTCGCAGAGCAACTAAGCCCGTGCGCCACAACTACCGAGCCTGTGCTCTAGAGCCCACGAGCCACAACTACTGAAGCCCGCGCGCCTAGAGCCCGTGCTCCGCATCAATGAGAAGCCCGTGCACCACGACCAAGAGTAGCCCCCGCTCGCCACAACTAGAGAAAGCCCGCACACATCAACGAAGACCCAACGCAGCCATAAATAAATAAATAATTTTTTAAAAAAATAAATAAAAGCAGACAGACTCTCTCACTTGCCAGTATTTCTACAGGAGTAACCTCAGCAGCCAGCACCGCCCTGGGGTTCAGTCTGCAACCAAGAGAGTAAAGAGCAGGAGGAGGTCAAGGAGGGAGCCTCACCGCTGCCTCTCGGGTTCCCCGTCCACATCCTCGTCGGCACTGCATGTGGCACTGGAGTCGTGGTCAGAGGGGAGCTCGGGCCTCGGGGCGCTCATCTGCTGGGCCACCCCTAGGTCGTCGCCTCCAGGCTCCGGCTTCTCGCTGCCTCTCTCCAGATCTCTGTCTTTGGGGTCCCCTTCGACTCTGGATGGACTGCTTTCTGGCATTTCCACGTCCGCAGCATCAGCCTTGGTGGCCGAGGGGAGGTCCAGAGCAGAAGTGCCTTCAGCCCCGCACTCCCTGTGCCCCACGTCCATCGGCTCGGCTGTGTCCACTGCCACGCTGTCGTTTGCCTGGGTCTCCACACTGGCATCCTCGGCTGCTTCTGTGCTCGGAACTGCCGGCGACGGAGAGGCCCTGGGCACGGGGTCGGGCGTGGTCCCCCGAGGAGGCGCGTTTTCAGTGCTGTCTTCGCAGGGCTTGACAGCTTCAACTGGTGAAGGAGAAGGAGCACTTTCTGTACCAGAACTATTTTCAGCACCTTGAAGATAATGGTACAGCATAAAAATCTGATAGTGAACAGCGTCCGCTAGTGACAGCAGCCACGCCTGAAAGTACTCGTTCAGGATGAACTATCCTCCTCTGATGACCTCACTGAAGTATTAGAGCCATTGGGAAAACTAAAGTTGTTTCATAAGTAGAGTATGAAAGGGAAACATCAAACTGTCTTGGCCTTCAGAAACTGAAGCATAAAAGCTTTTAATGTCTAAAAATAATCCATACGAAATTTGAAAAACAAACAAAACTAAACAAAAAACATTCCCATAAATGATAACGTTCTGGTTTATTTCTACCAGCCTGTTTCTGTGCTTTTCTTTTTACCCAGGAGAGCTAACACTAGAACAGCACCATCCAATAGTAACATAATGCACATTACATCTGTAATTTTAATTTTTCTGGTGGCCATGTTAAAAAAGTAAAAAGAGAGACAGATAAAATGAACTTCAACAATAGACCTTATTTAACCCAGTATGTGCAAAATATTATCATTTTAAATGTAACCAATATAGAAACCTAGTAATAAGAGGTTTTACCTTTTTTGGTACTAAGTCTTCAAAATCTGATTGTATTTCACATTTTCAGCACATCTCAATTTGGACTACAGTCGTCCCCTGGTGTCTGCAGACCAACCCCCATGCCCCCACCACGGACACCAAAATCCACGGATGCTCAGGTACCTGATGTAAAACAGCAGCATGTGCATATATAACCTAATCCTCCCGTATCCTTTAAATCATCTATAGATTACTTACAATTACTTGTAATACGTAATACAATACAAATGCTGTGTAAATAGCTGTAAATACAACGTAAATGCTATGTAAAGAGTTGCCACTCTGTGGAATTTTGCTTTTGGGAACTTTCCGGAATTTTTTTCTGAATATTTTCCACCCACGGTTGAACTGCAGGACCCTCAGACAGAGGGAAGACTGTACTCACATTTCAAGAACTCAATAGCCACATGTGTGTCTAGTGGCTACCACATTAGACAACAAAGCTCTAGAACAATATCACATAGATTTTTTAACTTAACGTTGTAACACTGGTCTTTCCCATCGTTTGTACCATTTCATAAATATACTTTTAATGCGTTTTGACATCTTTACCCAGATTATCTCAAAGGATTCACTATATCCTACTCTGGACAGGTATTCAACTCTCCCAAGTCCCAACTCAAGTTCTTTTTTAGTGTTTAGTATCCAACAAACAAACCAGGAACCTAGGAGTCACCTTTTAAAACTCTCCTCTCATTTGTCCCCATATCCTGCCTCGATGAGTCTCACAGATCTTCTCTCTAAAAATATCCCTCAAATCCAGCCATTTCTGTTCAACTTCACAACTGCCACTCAACTCCAAAACCGACTCTTCTGACCACCACCCCAGACCATTCTCTACAACAAGGCCAGAGTGAGTTTAAAAGCCAAATTCTACCAAAACTCACTCACACTCTCTCCCCCTCACTGCTCCCAGGATAAAGTTCCAAACTCCTGAGCGTGGCCTTGCTGCAAGCGTCCAGCCTCATCTCGAGCCCTGCATTCTCTGTGTCCCATATCACTGGCCTTCTTTCAGTTCTGTGAATGCCCCATGCGTCCGCTACCACATACTTCATACATTCTGAACGGCTTTCACCTACTTTTCCCCCTTTGGATATTAGATCAAATACCGCATGCTTAAAAACAAAAAAAAAAAACCCACATGCTTAAAAAAAGTCTTCTATCATTTCCTTAACAAAGTTGAATTTTGCTACTATGGCTCTTACGGCACATGTCCTGATTACAGTTACAATTTTACATTTATTCACAATTATTTGATTCCTTGCTGTTGCTCTCACTAGGCTGTAAATACCATTAAGGGCAAGGATCATATATTTTGCTTATCAGTTAAGTCCTAGAGACAAGCACAAGGCCGGGTGCCTGGCACAGAGCAGACTCAAACATTTACTGAAGTAAGAAGTGAATGAATGGCTGTGAATGTGTCTTTAAATTTACTTCACCTTTCCTCTATTAGTGGATCCTTGGGCTACTTCCAACTTGACACTGCTATAAATAGTTACACAGAGATGTTCACTTCAAGTTAAGTTTTCAATTATTTTCTTAAAATAGACTAGAAGACAACATAAAACTTTAAATCTCCCTAAAATGAATACACATATCTCCAATGAGAATCCCAGCGGTTTGTAAGAAAACTTCTTAAACTACACAGACCAATTTATAATTTATATGAAAAAATAAGTCCCTGAGAAAATCCAAGAAAATTAGAAAAAGCATTAGCGTGAGAGAGACTTGATTTATATTTTATAAGGTTCACTCTGGCTGTTCTTTGGAGGAAAAAAACATAATGGAACGAACAGCAGCAAGCAGACCAATCCAGAGGCCACTGCAGCAGAGGTGACAGGGGCTCGGAAGCAGGGTGGCAGCAGTGGAGGGAGGCGGATGTGACGAGAGTCTAAATAATGCATCTAAAGACAAGTGAGCAACCCTCGTTGATGGCCCACACGTGGGGTATGAGAGAGAGCTGGCATCATTTACGGACCGAGGGAGAGACTCGAGGGAAAGCAGGCTATAGTGGTGGGGAAACACAAGTCAGCTCTGGATGTTAACTCTTAGGTATCCAAGTAGAGATGTTAAATAGGCAGTTAGATGTATGAGCCTGGATTCAGATGAGACTTCAAGTCTCAAAAATAAAAACAAAATCAAAAGACAAAAGCTCAGAAGAGCACCTCACAGGTAGTAAGGTCTCAATATACAGCAGCAATTACTATTAGTGAAAGATGCTACCAAAACACTGAAAGGCCAACAAAAAGCCCGACTTCATCCTCATTTCTATACATATGGTGATGGAAAGCCTCAAACCCAAGGACAAATGAACAAGTCATTTCTCTTCCACATACAGGAGGACATGTTAGTGATTACACAGAGGATATCATCTGACATAAGCACTTTTTCAGTTATTTTCTTCTTCCAAGCCACAAAAGAGTAGGAATATTTCCAAGGCACAGCGCTTCACCAAGCACTAGCCAAATGTGAGTGCCTTTTTTTCTCTCCCCCGCCAAAACACCGTAAGGAACGATTTAGAACAAGAACACATCCAAATTCTGGTAAGGTTTTGGTCTTTCTGATTTAACTCATCTAGTCACAAAAGACACTCCCACGGCTAGAGGCGTGTCTCAGGAAGCCAGACACGGAGGCTCTGCTTTCAGCAGACGCCTCCCCTCTCCCGTGGGCAAGAGCCCGACCCCACAACCAACAGGAGGTCTGCAGGGTCTCCGGAAGCTGGGCAGTGAGACGGGGCATAGCTCGTGGACACCACAGTGTACTTTCTTTTCTCCGGCACTTTCCAAATGAAATTAAGTCAAAGGAAATGAAGATCCCACAATTCTAGGGGCAAGTTCATTTCCTATTAATAGGAAACTATTCTAGATGTCACAACACAAGCATATGTATAAATGGGCATGACGTGACCATGCTACCCCACACTAGAGCCGATGGAAACAGGATTTTAATACCTCACTTAACCTTAATCACCTTATCTGACAATTTGAAAAAAGCTTCACACTAAGACAAAGTAACAGGAGAGAAACAGAAGGAAAAAAGTCACTTTCTGGTGCTCAGTTTTTAGGAATCTGTTAGCCCATGCATGGATAGGCTTCTCTGTTCTGAAATAAACACGTATATGACAAATAGGCTTGGCCCTTCTTATGAACTGGATCGTGTCCCCCTGCCCCCAAAATTTATGTTAAAGCCCTAACCCTCAATGTGACTGTATTTGGAGATAATGACCTTAAGGAGGTAATTAAGGTTAAATGAGGTCTAAGAGTGGGGCCCTAATCCAAATGATAGATTTCTATTGTTTAAGCCGCCCAGTCTGTGAAATACAGGCTTCATGTACAGTTATAACCCAGGGAATACTGGCTACCAGCTACAAACCTATTAACAAACGCTGGGGCTTCCCTGGTGGCGCAGTGGTTGAGAGTCCGCCTGCCGATGCAGGGGACACGGGTTCGTGCCCCGGTCCGGGAGGATCCCACATGCCGCGGAGCGGCTGGGCCCGTGAGCCATGGCCGCTGAGCCTGCGTGTCCGGAGCCTGTGCTCCGCAACAGGAGAGGCCACAGCAGTGAGAGGCCCGCGTACCGCAAAATAAATAAATAAATAAATAATAAATAAAATTAACAAACTCTGAGGACCTCTTTCAAAGTGTCAGACACACCCTCCCCGCCAACTGTCTGCAGGACCCTCATTCTACCCCAGGATGAGCCTACTCCAACGGTCTGTTTACTTTTGTAACAGCTGCCTCATTTTTCACAAAACCTCACAGAATAAAGTTTACTGTTCAAAGCCAAAACCCATTTCAAGACAAATTTTAAGCTGAAAACCCAGTAACGACAACTTGTAGAAAAAAAATAATAAAACAAAATGTAAAACTCCTGGAAGTTGTAGAACCTCTTAAGCTTAAAATATAGGAGCCTACAAAAGAAAATGTAAATAGCTCTAATTACCTGCAAAGTTTAAACTCTGGTAATTTAAAGATAAAACAAAACAAAAAGCAAATGAGATGGAGGGAATATTTGCATACATAAAAACATGAACATGTTTAAGATATAATATATACAGAGCTACTGAAATCACTGTGAAAATCCCCACTTCAGAAGAGGAGAGTTTTCAAAAGAAATCCAAGGCAACTTTGAAAGTAATGTAAACTGAAATAAATTAGGTAACTTTTTTAATTAGGAAAAAAATCAAGAAAATATTTGCTTTTTCAGGAAGTTGTCATTAATTTGTTCAAATGACGAAAAGGATTTTATTAAGTTTTTTGGGCTGACGTTTTTTTCTGCCAGTGCCTCCGGGTCATTAATACTTTTTACGTGAAAACATCAATATGACATGTGTAAGCTTTGTAAACACTGAAATAAATCAAGCTCAATGGAATAAAATAAAGAGGGAAATGTAACTGATGATACCGACTGAACCAATACGTGTGGCAACGATCCAGACACACAGACATTTTACTGATGTTGGCACTTAGTGTCTGAGGCAGGACCACCATCTTCAAGATCTTTTGGATGTAGCACCTGGGCCGTCTTAGGAGCTCCATAAATAAATATGAGCTGAGTGAACGAATCAATGCATTGTGTTCAGGTCTCCTTAATGAAGCACTTCCTAGATCGTCAAATGACCAAGGTACACGTCGCGCATCTGGGCCAGCAGAAGCCACAACCAGGTGGAAGATCTGAGATACCTTCACTGTCCTCGGGATTTTCCTCTTCGTTGGAGGCTTCGATGTCCTCGTCCTCCTGCGCAGAAACGGTGGAAGCTACACTTTCACACTGAGACACATCTCGCTCTTCACGAGGCTTCCGTGAGGCCTAAAGGAGTGAAAATATTGCTATTTGGGATTTAAGTAACTGAAAGGAAAGAAACAAACCTTCTCACACCTGAGGCGAGGCAGAACACTGGCACGCACACACCAGACCAGCAGCTGCGTGTCCAACAAGCACTCTGGCTGGAGTGCAGTCACCTCGGGGATCCACTAACGGGCCTTTTGTGCAGGTGGATGGATGGCTTTCATCAAATTGATCAAAAGTTACGTCGGAGCCGTTTTTGGAACTACTCATCGCTATACATGTACAAATAGCCAAAACCCACAAAACTCCTGCTTTTTATTTTCATATATTTATTTTCTAATAAAAATAACACGTTGGAATGTGGAAGACAGAAAAGTATGTTAAGAAAAGTAAGAACTGCTCATAATTCTAGCAGCTAGAGATTCTAAGTATACTGCTGCATTTCCTTTCAGTCTTTTACATGCATATACGTCTGTATAAATGTTTACGTACACATGTGAACAAAACAGGATGGCCCTACGTAGTTATATATCCTATCTTTTTTTTAACAATATAATCATGAACTACACACACACCTACTTTACAAATGCTTCAAGGTTACTACTTTTATTAATGATCCCATTAAAACACTCTACCAATATATATTTCAAATTTTCCTATTTCAAGGCATTCAGGTTGTTAATAATGCTGCAATAGCCTTCCTTCACTAGCATTAAGAATTATATGATTTCATAGGCAACAACTCATAGTTGTTGTTACTGAATTTCTTTTACTATTAATGAGAACAAATTCCTTTTTTTTTTTTAAATAGGATTTTCCCTTCTGAAAACTACATGTTTACGTAAAATTGTTCATTCTTCTACTGGGGTCACTTGTCTGTAAGTGTATGTGTTTATATAGGTAAATGTAAGGCGTTAGCCATTTACTGTAGTATCTCTAGGGTCCCGGCCCTGGCAGTCCTCTGTTCTGTGCCTCCTACAGACCCTGCACATCACCAGGCAGCAGCTGCCAGCCTCTCCCAGGGAGAGATTCCTCAGAGGTAACACATAACAGATTCCTATTACCACACCCCAACTGTGAAAAATTACCAATACTCTTATTCTCGTTTCTTCTTACTCTTAGTTTAGATATGAATATGCTATTTAGGATCCAACCTAAAGCATTAATTAAGTCAAGAGAAAAATCCATTTTCTGACATCAGGGTAATAGAACTAGATGAAATTCTGAAGACCAAAAACAAACCCATCCTTATGTTCTGAGCAAGAACACAGGGAAGACTCCTCTGGTACATTTTCTAAAAAGCCTTCAGAAGGTTCCATGAATGCTCTATTTTTGAGCATTAGCTAATAGCTGCTCTGTGCGTTTTCTCAGTGCCCCACCTGTACCCTCCTCTGGCAGCATCCACCCATTCTGCGGGGCGCTGTCCTGGACGGCTGCAGAAGAGACAGCAATTCACCATGACGGCGACATCCCTCTCCTCACACGCAGTGAGCTACTGCACCTCCAGACCCCTGCTTCATTATATGAGAGTATTCGTTTTAAACGGAAATGTAACACCTATAAATCTTCCACTGAGTTTTAACAGGTATTAGACATTTTGTCATTTTTTCCTGAAATCTTTTTAAAAAGGATAAAATGCTCTACTCAAGGTTAGTTGCAACGTGAAATCTGAAACGTATCGATACACTTCTGGTACTCTATTAAGACGCATTCCTCTATCTTGTGCTTTGGTGTATTAAAGAACATTTTATGGATCTTTTATCCATACCCAACATACACTGTGACATCATGAGTTGGTCACTTGGAAAATGAGTTACAGAGATTTTTAAAATTTGGATACATTTCATTACATATCAAAATATCACATTAGTTATTATTACCACTAATCTCATCAGAAAAGTCTGAGTATTGTGAAGATGTTAATTAAGCTCACGGTGAGAGATACACACTTCCCAAAATTCTAATTTTTGCCTGAAAGCTGGAAATTTAAAAGTGGCAACAAATACTAATGGTTGTTTTCTTTCAAGACAGCCTCATTCATTTTCAAGAAGATGTCTGCAAAATATTCAGGTCTGAAAAACCATATCTGTTCTGTCATTCTTTTAATTAAAAATAACATTCCATGGAAGGCGGGGGGGGCCTAGTTCAGCTTGGAACTCAAATGACACAAGAGTGCCTTCCCTTGAGACCCGCTGCTCACCAGGACCGGGCAGAGGGCTCTCTGCACCCTCCCACCATCAAACAGATGTGTGTAAGGCTCAAGATTTACCAAAGCCAATTTTCAGTTGCTTCATCAAGGGCATTCTTAAGTGAAACTGCCGTTTACAAAACACAGCTGCAACTGCTTGGAGATGAAGAGCGTGCTGAGCGCGGCGGTGCCCGGTTCTGCTAAGGCACCAGCACTCTCACTCACAGCTGCTTTGACACCACGGATGCAAATGTCCGGACAGTGGAAAAAGGAAACATCTGAATATTTTTATGAAAATGCTTTGACTTCATGGAACCCTCAAAGAGCTCTGTGAACTCTGAGAACACTGGAACTTCCTGGTTAAGGAATTTTCAATAATCTTTCAATAATTTTCAAAACTTGCCGGTTTTTAGTTTTTACCCCATGGAATCTTTCTGAGAAAATGTTTTTTTAATATGACAAATCAACTCAATCAACATGGTAAACACAACTAAAGTTTTCAATTCAAACTCCAAAATGCTTATATTTTTCAAGTCCAGCCCACAGAAACTCAAAAGTACTGAATCGCCATTAGTACCAACAGAAATTTTACTCCTTATCAGTAAATAAACAAATCGTCAACTTGTGCCAAGAAACCAGCATTTCCCTTTACAGGTAAAACACAAATAAAAATACAAGATACGCTGATTCACTTTGTTATACCGCAGAAACTACAACACCATAAAGCAATTATACTCCAATAAAGATGTTAAAAAAAAAATACAAGATACAAAAAAGTTTCCTTCAAAGCCAATCTCTGAAGCTCAAAAAAAAAAAACTAAGTAAAAAACAGTAAGTAAAAGACTCACCACCCCTGATATACTCACTTTCTGTTTATGCTGCTGCAAGAGGTTGTCAAGATTGTGTCGTCTCTTATAGTTAAAATAGAAGTTTTTACATTGGGCTTCACTTTTAGTCCCCACCATCTTGGCAATCGCTGCCCAGTTACGACCATGTTCTACTAGACCTGGATTTTAAAAACAGACCAAACATTAACCGAGGAGCCACCTGATAAAGCAACAAGAAAAATGATAAAATCAACTTAATTCACTGCATTCACAATCATTAACACTAAAAGTGTTTTTTCAATTATTTATCGATATACTTCAATGCTTGCTGAAATGTGATTCGCACAAAACTCATTAACAGCTCTATTTTTCTACCCAAAGTTAAAACATGCTCATTAATGGAAGGACTCAACCTTATCCTTGTTATATATCTCCCAGAAGACTAGGACAATGCTGGACACACAGTAAGAGCCCAAACACTGTAAACTGAGTGATTAGGTACAGTACTTCTAAATCTTTGGAAACAGTATATCAATACAAAGTTAATAAGGTAATCAAACGTAAGTGATTAACACAAAGTAAAGATATACTTAAGGTTCCATTTATAATCAGCATGTCTTCAGTCCATTCCCAATCAAGGATGCCCTCAAAAATATTAACCAGTTTTTTTTTTCTTTTAGACCTGTTGTAATACAATACATCACAGGAACCTACTCAATCTGACATTTCTTCCAACAAATGATGCACGTATGCACACAGATACATATGTGCAACGAGTATGGATATATAAATGCATAAATACAGAGAGATATTTTAGACATAGGTGTATCCAAGCAGGAATTTCTAGTACAAATTCATTAATTTATGGGAAAACATCAATTTCCCAAGGTTAACACCAGTAGCTTCCTTAACAATGATAACTGGAAGATCATCTCCAGACCCTGCTGACATCTGACTATAAAAGCTGGAAGGAGTGGTGCCTGAGCAGTCACGTGCTAGGACATGCACCTGACAAAAGCACGCTGTGGCAGAGCTGACACCTAACTACTCCACTGTGACGCTGGGACAGTCAGATGACAGTAATACACGGAAGCATGACAGTCACAGATGCGCTAACCATGGCAATAAACTTCAAACAAAAATATTTTGAAGACAGAACACTCTAAACTGCTGTATTTTTGGTAAGGTTGTTTTATATGATTCTTAAATGCATTACTCATTATCAGCTAAACAGAAAATAAATCTGAAATGTGTCACTAAAAGTTCAAGCTATTTGCAATAATTTCTCTTTAGAACTACAAGGTAAATCCTTAACCCTGAAAAGAGCTGGCTAATCTTTCTCAAAATCAGCTTACTTAAAAAATAATTTTTTATTTATAAACCAATTATCTATCCTTTTAGAAATTTTAGTTCAATCTCAAACTGTGTGACATTTATAAGAAACAACAGAAGAACACAAGATCCGTAAAGTTCCAGAGTAAGATGAAAGCCACACAGCTAGCAAAGTGTCAGAAGCAGAATTCAAACCTTCATCTGTCTGGCTACAAAGTCCATGCTCTCTCCTCTGAATCATTTTATAATCAAACTTAGCCTTACTAAATGCAAACTGAGAAAGTATTTATCATTCTATTAAATGCAACTTTTAAATAGAGAGTTTTTATATCAAATACCTTCCAAAACTTTAATAGCATTTAATCACAACTATTCTGGAAAACTGAAAGTAGCTTACTTGCTCTCTAATAAGACATTCAAAACAAAATGAGAGAGAAAAATTCCTCAGAAGTGGGCCTCTTTAACAAGGCACACTGGGGCACCTTACAGGGCACCACACCATCAAAAAGAACTCTTGGGCTTCCCTGGTGGCTCAGTGGTTGAGGGTCCGCCTGCCGATGCAGGGGACACAGGTTCGTGCCCCGGTCCGGGAGGATCCCACGTGCCGCGGAGCGGCTGGGCCCGTGAGCCATGGCCTCTGAGCCTGCGCATCCAGAGCCTGTGCTCTGCAACGGGAGAGGCCACAGCAGTGAGAGGCCTGCGTACCGCAAAAAAAAAAAAAAAGAACTCTTAAGTGTACTTCTAAATTCTACTTACCATTGTGGAAGAACGAACTCTTTTTTTCAATTAAAAAGAAATTAGTTCCATCTCACTCATTACCAATAACCCTAAAAACAAACAAACAAACAAAGAAAAACAAACCTGAAGAACCTGAACTACTATCATTTACCTTTTTTAGCAACTTCCATTTCTTCTTCTGTCCATCGAGAGGTTTCTACAGGTTCTGTAGAAACTGAAATAAAGACAGAACCCAATAAGCCAGAGAAAAATGAAGTTCTTCATTCATAGATTATATGGTACCAATCGTATAATCTACAGCCTAAATATTTATCTGACATAAAGCCACTTTAAAGCATTAGGTGAAAGAAACTATGGAAATAGGATGGTATCAGCCTCTCCTCTACTGTAATAGAGGGGAAAATCCCACACTCCTCAGTACCATGGTCTTCCTCAACGTTCTTTAACATTCCATCCATGTCCACATGTTTGAATGCGGTGCCTCCCCACTTCCTAGAGCTCCATCCCTTCTCTCCTGAAGCGTCAAAAGAAGCAGCCGCCCTTCTGCTTCCTGCCCAGGCAGGCGCAGTCCTCTCCTGTTCTCTGAACCCCCATCTCCCCCGAACTCCTGGAAGTCCCTGTGTTCATCCTCAGTGCCTGAAATCTAGCAAACAGATGGATCACAAACTGAACACTTTCTCCTTTACTTTAGAAAATTGAGACTCTCAGGCCTAAAATGAGCTCCTGCTATATTCTCCTTCTCAATTAACATTACTACCATCCACCCAGTCACTCCAATTATTATCAGGATCTTCAGACTAATTTTTGAAGCCTTAGACTAATTTTTAAATCTTTCCATCCATCTACCACTCACATGCAATGATGTATGTCAATTCTGGTCTCCTGAATACACCCCCTCGCTGCCTGGACCACTGAATGCATAAGGATGCCCTTCTAGCTGGTCCCTCAGCCTCCAGCCCTTACCCCAAACACACCTCCTCCACACTGTCACCAGAGTTATCTTTCTAAGACACAAATCTAATCACAACACTCCTCTGTTTAAAAACCTCTGTAGGCTCCCTACTTTGTAAGCAAAGCAGTTCAGACAAAGCCCACCACGATCTGCCCCCATCTGCTTGTCCAATTGTTTCCTTCACTTCATTCCTGTTATTTCCAAAACTTGCAATTTCTTTCATACTTCATGTTATGATAAATTTGGTACCACTGAACCACCAATGATGGTACTCATCATTAATATGATCCCATTATAAACTAATGAAGACAGTCTTTAATAAGAAAGAGAAAAATGCGTGTACTCTTAGACCCAGTATTCCCTTGTCTAAGAATTTATTTCCATGAAAACTAATTTAACAGAAAGAACATGCTATGCGAATAAAGATTTTTTTTTTCATTAAAGTGCCATCCATATTAGTTTTAAAGGCGGGAGGAGATGGCCAACATCTCACAGCCATTGAAAGTGAAAATGAAGACCACTTAGAAAGTAGAAAACATTCATGACATGTGCCCAGTTAGAACATCAGGAAACAAGGTGGCACGCACACTAGGATTACAACACAGGAAAAAGAAAAACAGCTGTATTAGGTAGTAAGGTTGGGGCTCATGTTCTCTTTCGAAAGACTTTGATATTAAAGTCTAACAAATTTAGGGCTTCCCTGGTGGTGCAGTGGTTGAGAATCAGCCTGCCAATGCAGGGGACACGGGTTCAAGCCCTGGTCCGGGAAGATTCCCACATGCCACAGAGCAACTAAGCCTGTGCACCACAACTACTGAGCCTGCGCGCTAGAGCCCACGCACCACAACTACTGAAGCCCACGCACCACAACTACTGAAGCCCGTGAGCCTAGAGCCCGTGCTCCGCAACGAGAGAAGCCTCCGCAATGAGAAACCCGCGCACCGCAACGAAGAGTAGCCCCCCCTCGCCGCAACTAGAGAAAGCCTGCGCGCAGCAACGAAGACCCAATGCAGCCAAAAATAAATAAAATACATAAATTCATTAAAAAAAAACAAACAAATTTAAAGGCCAGAATTTCAGATCAGCATTTCTAGGCCATCAATATCAGAGGTCCCTCCTGCCTCACCCTAGCACTGAAACAGAATCCCAAACAAAATTCTGGCCCGTTCGCTCCAATCTCGTCCACTCACTGGGTTCTGGCGGCGGTGGCAGAGGTGGGGGGGGGCTCCTCGGTGGCTGCAGCAGCCGCAGCGCTGGCAGCTGCGGCCTCACTGGTCATGGACCTGGTGACCCGGCCCTTTCGTCGGCCCTGACTGTTGGCAGTCTTTCGGCCCCGGGGCGTGGCCTGCTCTCTCTCCTCAGTTTCTTCTGCTGTACTTTCTGTCTTATCCTTTTCCTTGGTGTTTTCTCTAGAAACAACAGCAAAAGAACATTTTGTGTGATTTAAAAGCATACATACACCAAAAAGATTACAGCCTTGAAAATTCTTTAAATAGAAGTTGAATAAAACTACCCAACCTCCCAGTTATTTGGAATAACCGCTTGGGCTTCCCATCAATACAAACTCAACCCGCCCCAAAACACGCTCACTCTCCCCACCCTGCTTCCTGCTCCCTGGCCCTCTGACCAGCAGCTGCTGACAGTACCAGCACGCTCACGATCACTCAGTTTACAGATCCGACTTCACCTTCAGCTCTTCCCCTTGTCAGTTACTTGTATGTGAACTAGTGCCTCGTTTTGGTCCTTTCCTCTCACTGATGTTTCTCCCACCAATTCCACCACCTCTATCTCTGTTACCTCTGCGTGTGTTCAGTGCCTTAGTAGCACAGTCACAGTCTCTTACAACAGCCTTCCTGACTTCTGCATCCCCATCCATTCTATACTGCTCGTGGACCCATATTCTAGCACAACAGCTTTGGCAATAAACCATTTCCTCCATTCTAATCCTACCTATTCCCAAACAGAGCCATGCAGCCTCCTGAGTGAAGGTTACGCTTTAGCTTTCATTAAGGCTTTACCTAACTGGACCCCAACCTCCTTCTGCTTTTCTCCTTGAGGCGTCCTACATTCCAAACCAATGAAACCACTATCTGCCATTTCCCAAAGAGGCCTGTCCATTCACACCACTCCCTCTGTTCTACCCACACTGACCACTAGCTCCTGCAACAAGCCCTCCAAACTATCCAGGCAGAAGGAAACCTCAACCTCTTCTCAATCTCCCAGTACACTTTATTGACTCTGCTCATTCCTTCCAGGCTTTTTTCTCTTCCTTAAAGAGTACTTGCATCTTGCCTAATTTTTCCTACTAGATCATAAACTGCCTGGGAAGAGTATGTATCTCACGTATTTCTGCAACCTCCATGAGACCTAGCTCACAGCGGTAACAAATGAGTGCTTGTTAAATAAACTAGGCATGTTAAGAACAAAGTAAAAACAAGATATGGCAGTAACGCATGAGCAGAACCACTGACCACGTGGAGGATAAATGTTTTACCTGAATAACTAAAAAAAAAAAAAAAATTTTTTATAGATATCATCTTCTTAAAGCACAAAATTAGAATGGCATAAGTATCCAACTCTTTAAAGAACATGGCAAGTGATTAGGCTGCTTTAGCTGCCGCAAAATTAGATAAACCTTCAGTATTTCCAAGAAGATTATAGAAATAACAATAAATATTAAAAAGAAACTACTAACACAAGCAACAACCTGTATGGATCTCACACTTATTAAGTAAAAGCAGCCACACAACAGGAGATTACATACTGTACGATTCCATTTATATGAAATTATAGGAAAGGCAAAACAAATTAGTAGTTACCAGGGGCTGGGAATGGGGGGGAGGGAAACTACTGCAAAGGAGCACAGGGGAGCTTTCTTGGGGTGATGGAAATGTTCTGAGTCACGAGTGCGGCAACAGGTACACCAGTGCATACAACTGTCAAAATATATCAACGTATACCCTTAAAAACTGGTGAAATTTAGTCTATGCAAAATTATGCCTCAATAAAGCTGATCCTTGGAGGAAAAACAAACAAACCAGCTGCTAAGGGCCTCCCTGCACCCAACCCTGCCAAAACATGTACACAAAGATATCAACGATAGCTGTCTCTGAGTGGCAGAATCACAGGTTAATTTTCTTTCTATTTTGCTCTCTCTTACTGATTTGCTGTAAGGAACTAGAATTATTTTTATAACCACGATAACAGCAACAGCAACCACAAACAAACCAGGAAATCTGGACTTCCCTGGTGGCACAGTGGTTAAGAATCCACCTGTCAATGCAGAGGACACGGGTTTGAGCCCTGCTCTCGGAAGATCCCACATGCCACGGAGCAAGTAAGCCCATGTGCCACAACTTCTAAGCCTGCGCTCTAGAGCCCGCAAGCCACAACTACTGAGCCCACGTGCCACAACTACTGAAGCTCACGCGCCTAGAGCCCATGCTGTGCAATAAGAGAAGCCACCGCAATGAGAAGCCCACACACCGAAAAGGAAGATTAGCCCCCGCTTGCCGCAACTAGAGAAAGTCCACGCGCACCAACGAAGACCCAATGCAGCCAAAAATAAATTTTAAAAACAAAAAAAATCAGGAAGTCTATTTTATATGAAAAATAAAATCCATAAAGCTGGAATAGAAGGTGTTATATAAATGAAAACCATTTAGCAGCATTTTTACACTAATGTACACTACCTGAGGTTCAAAACAAAAGATCCTGAGTTCTTCCAAATCAAAGATTAAATTATACTCAGTGTATCTCAGTGATGGTGTATATTATTGTAGCTCATCCCTTCCGAAAGAGTATGTCATGTTTGGCAAATAAGTCCATCAAGCCAAAAGTTATACTTACTGGAATATTCCACTCCTTAATTATGTCAAATAACTATTAGGTGATCAAAGCACACATCCCATTGATTCTTTTATCTAAAATTTTATACCTTCAATAGATTCAATCTCATTATTTAAAAATAACTACAACATTTAACTATTTAACTCACTTAGAGTCCTCCTTTTCATCTTTTTCTTCTTCATCTTTCTTTTCCTCCTCTTTTTTTTCTGTTTTTTCTGCTTTATCTTCTTCTTTTTCTTCTACTTTTTCTTCTTGTGAGGGTCGGGCAATTTGCTGCTAGAATGAACCATCATTTGTAAAATTGGAAAGTAAAACAAACAGCTCCTCAAATCATAATGATAAATAATAAATATCTATGCAACAAATTTATGATTAACTTATTCACCATCTACAATGTGACTAGGGGTCATGTACTAAAAACGAGTCTAATGCTCTTTAATGTAGTCTATATGTATTGCTTAAAAGGTCACACACACATATAAACACACACAAATGTTCACAGTGTCTGGATCCATCAGACAGGTGACAATGTTAAGATTCCACTTAGAAATCTGAGGTTGGTACTCTCTTTTTGTAATTCCCACATCTAATCTGTCACTTACACATTTCAATTCTACTTGAAATTTGATAATTTGTCAAACCATCCCCCCGGTATGAGATCCTTAATATGTTCCCAAATTTTTCATCATTATGGATAATACTACAAGAAACCTCTTTATGCTTTTACTCTTTTGGGGAAACATTCATTTACTGGAAGAGTAGACAGTCATGGCCATTATTAAGACTGAAGCGATTTAGGAAAGTATTATGGATATAATAAACTAAAAAGTAAAACACTCAAATATGCCTAAACTGTAATTACAACTCTGTAATCGTAAATATGTATATAAAAAAGACGAAGATAATAAGATTATGGACCCTTTTAACTCTGATGTCTCATTTGCTAAACCTGAGAAAAGTGAAATGAAACTGTGGTGTTTTAATTACGAAATCAAACAGCCTAACCGAATAGGACCGGACTCCAGCTCCCCCGCAGCACGCGGCCGACCAGCCCAGGTGTACCTTTGCCCACACGGTCTGCGCCCAGGCTGCCCTCAGCACACCCAGCATTTTCATGCCTTTGCTCAGAATAGAGTAAAATCTTCCTCAACTTCCGATAGCATCTCACAGTCTTTTACCACCTCCCCAGAACTACAATCTAGCTTCTTCCTTAAGACACCTGGCCTCTCCAGAAGGGGGCCTCTCCAGAAGGGGGCGTCTCCAGAATGGGGACCCCTTCTGGAGAGGCCTCCTTCTAACATATGGAGGAAGAATCTAAACTCTTCTTGCTCCCCACTGACACTTCCAGAACACTGCTCAGCTGCGGTATTTAAAAACCTCCTGTTACAAATTTCAGAAAATCTACCTATGACACCTTGTTTCCTCTTCTGGTGTTACAGATTGACTCTCAAAGACTCCCAGGAGCACAGAGATTACTTTATCACATGGCTCGTTATGCCATGTCATTATTCTTCAGATTTCAAGATGCCTGTCAATACCTTTTCTATCAACACGATATCCTACGTGTGAAATACTTTCAGGTCATTGCCATTCAGTCTCCCACAGGGAGTCACCACAGCCATCCTCGGTGGGCACTGCCCCCCCCGACCCTATAATCTGACAGTGTGCCCCGCAACCACCACCACTCACATCCGTCCCAGCCCACATCTCCACTGTCGCCAGTCCAGTCCTGCTTTTTGTCCTCATCACCATCTACAATCCCTTGATGCTAAGAAATTTTCACAGCCCACCAAGAACAGCATCCACTCTTCCACTCTGACCCCAGCTAAATCGTTTCAATACCATGATTCCCTCACTTACCTTACCTGACCTTCCCAGGTTCTTACCCTGGCTAACTGCCAGTTTCCTTTTCTTCTAAGTATGTATTATTGCTAGAGAAAACTAAGAAATCAGGAAGATTTTAATGGATACTTTCCAAGCATGACTAGCTCTCCTTTACAACTGGGAATGTTTTATTCATCTGACTCCCTAGCACATCACAGTGATCCCAAGATCTGTCTGAAATGCTAATAACCTCACCCTGCCCGCCACAAACGTAGCATTCATCTGTCATTCTGAACCAACAAAATGACATACCAACAACAAACTCTGCCCCCTGCCTAGCAAGTGGACTACGTAACCCAGAAAACGGTTTACAGCCCTAAGAAGTCATGGGGAGGTGTCAACTCAGCTGAAGATAAGGAAAGAGGTCTACCGTCCCTTAGACTTGAACAACACATATAACCGTATTCCCCGAATACTCTTCTGCTTCTAATGCCGACCCGGGTTTTGAAATAAGCAAGCAATCCCCCACGTGCCCTGATGCCCGAAACCATCCCACAGCTGACTGGCCCCTCCTGCAGTGCCGGTGGCTGAGAGGCAAGGGCAGCACCTGTTTCGACCAGTCAAAGGGAAGAAGAGGGCAGGATCCCTCCAGAAACGCAGCCCCCAGTTCTGCAGAGTGTGTGTGAATGAGCCAAAGAAACTGCTGGGGCTGCCAGACAGTCTGCAGAAGCGTGTGCACCTCCAGAGCAGAGCCCCACACTGAGCAGCAGCGAGTGGAGAGGGATGTGAGGGAGGCCCGAGATTGTGGACAGCACTTAACCCGGGAGACAAGCATCAAGACCCACAGCAAGGATGGCCATGGACACTAAGAAAGGAAGGAACAAACTCTGGTTTTCACAAGAAGTGGCTGGCACTGCTTCTGTTTCAGGCAGATCTGTAAAGGAAAGAGCCAGCCCCCTGGTCTAGGACGGAGGTTACAGGCCACATACCTCAACCCTTGCCAGCGAGCTGGCTGGAGCAGAAGCCCATGGTTTCAAAAGGAAACTCTTCAAAGGACCCTAAGAGACACAGGCGCTCCCATGAGCTTCTTGTCCAGGTTTCTCCCTCCTTAAGCCCAACACTTGATAGTCAATTAAAAAAAAGTCTCGGGCTTCCCTGGTGGCGCAGTGGTTGAGAGTCCGCCTGCCGATGCAGGGGACATGGGTTCGTGCCCCGGTCCAGGAGGATCCCACATGCCGCAGAGCAGCTGGGCCCGTGAACTATGGCCGCTGGGCCTGTGCATCCGGAGCCTGTGCTCCGCAACGGGAGAGGCCACAACAGTGAGAGGCCCGCGTACCGGGAAAAAAAAAAAAAAAGTCTCATTCTGTTAGGGAGGTTCTCCCAACATGAAACATTCCTGCCAAACAATAAGCTATTCACTCTGAATGGCAGAGCACGTTATAAAACAAAATAAAAATTCCAATGAAAAAAAGTGAAAGTTACATGTATTTCATGAAAATAAATGAAGAGTAGGGTCAATTTCAGCAGGGTCCTCTCTAGCAAGATCAAATGCTAGGGCTTCCCTGGTGGCACAGTGGTTAAGAATCTGCCTACCAACGCAGGGGACACGGGTTCAAGCCCTGGTCCGGGAAGATCACACATGCTGCGGAGCAGCGAAGCCCGTGTGCCACAACTACTGAGTCTGAGCTCTAGAGCCCGCGAGCCACAACTACTGAGCCCGTGTGCCACAACTACTAAAGCCCGCGCGCCTAGAGCCCGTGCTCTGCAGCAAGAGAAGCCACCGCAATGAGAAGCCCACACACTGCAACGAAGAGTAGCCCCCGCTCGCCGCAACTAGAGAAAGCCCACACGCAGCAACAAACACCCAACGCAGCCAAAAATACATTAAATAAATAAATTTTGAAAAGAAATATATTTTAAAAAAAAAGAAAAAAGAAAGATCAAATGCTAGCTTATGCTGAGATTTATTACTACTACATCTGACTGGGTGTCTAACTCATATATATTTGTTAAAATGCTCAGGTCTTTAGAAAACAAATAAATAAAGGAATTCCCATTCAGCAGACAATGAAGTTGCCAAAAAGTGAAATGACCAAATTTAAGAACAAGGAGCTAGTTAAATAACAATGTACAAGAAACAGAAAAAATGAAGTACTTCAGCCACTGAGGTTTTTTTAAAGTACTTCAGGCAGTAAACAGAAAATATCTTATGCCAGTCTTATCAAAGTATATTAATAAACTAATGCCTTTAAAGCAACTGAACTGGAGACTACTTTCCTGAAGAGTGAAAGCTGTCGATCACCAAGAAGCATGTTTGGTTGAAGGCAACAAAGGCGGTAGCTGCTGCCCTTTACTTACTGGGCGGTACCTACACTCTGGGTACTGCACACACAACTAGTCTCCTATAAACCCTGCAAGGTAAGAACCAGTGCTCACAGATGTCACTCCCACAGATGTCACCAAGTGAAGGGACACTAGAGTGTCACAGACACAAAGAAGCAGAGCATTTGGGGATCTAAAGCTCCTTCCATTATACCCAATTCTTTAATTGTCTAAATCACCCTTTCTAACTAGTGTATAACTAACGGTTTAGTCAAAAACTCCTCCAACTTCAACAATTACTACATTTACATAAGTATATGCTTTCTGAACACCTCTGGGGAATAAAAACACGCTGGCACAGTTAAAGGGGAAGATGTTGTCGGCATGAAGGGAGAGTACAAATTCTTGTAAGAGCCCTCGAAGATCTGGAAATGAAAAATGTGGTTTCAAAACAATGACTTGCTTTACTGCAGGTCACGAGCAGGTGCCACAGGAATCCCATCTGCACAGTGACAGACTTATTACATGGGAGTTTATGCTGGAAAGTGAGATGGAATTATTACTTCTAACAAAAATGTTGCACACAAAATCAAGTTACTACTTGGCATGGTATTTACAATTCTAGATCCCAAACAGTAAAGCCAAAGAGGGGCTTTTGGTTTATAATCTTTGATAAGCATTCACTGCTTCAACTACAATTGATAAAGAACCACACTCATTCCCGTCATGGGATGCCAACAAGCTGGACTGTAACAATGGTTTGGGCAGAGTAGCCAACAGAATTTTTGAGAAAAGAGTTAAAACTTTTGCCAACAATAATCTCTGAACACAACTGTAACAAAATTATGATTATCTCTCATTTCCCGATGATTCTAAGATTAAAACTCATTTTCTGCGTAAATAATACGCAAGGTCCCCTATGGCAACAGCAATGTTAAAAATCACACCTCACGGGCTTCCCTGGTGGCGCAGTGGTTGAGAGTCCGCCTGCCGACGTAGGGGACGCGGGTTTGTGTCCTGGTCCAGGAAGATCCCACATGCCGCGGAGCGGCCGGGCCCGTGAGCCATGGCCGCTGAGCTTGCGCGTCTGGAGCCTGTGCTCCGCGACGGGAGAGGCCACAACAGTG